CGTAGCATTAAAACTACTAGTTGAATTAAGAAACATCTTGATAATGGATTAGCCACGGCTTTTGGAGTCTATAGCAGTACTTGGTTCAAATTCTGGATCTGCTGCATTACTACCCGGGTGACCCTGAGCTTAGTATCAATAGGTAGGATGGAATAATGCTATCTACGTGCAGGATTGCTAAGAACCAAATGAACAAGGTATATAAGTTTTATGACTATTAAAAATAGAGGTCATCGAAGCATCATAAATAGACCTGGACTTTTCCTTCTCAAAAATTATAATGATGCAGTATTTATGACATAATTTAAATGTTAAAATGTATAAAAAATACAGTGAGTAGTCTGGTGGTCAGGGCACAGGCGGCTGGCCCACAGCTCTGACGCTGTGCTCATGGAGAGTGAGGTGTGAAATGTGAGCTCTCCGATATGTCTCATACTGAGGAAAAAATTTAAAACTAAATCAAATCCTCTTTTTTTTTAAATTTTCAGTAGCAGAGTGCATGAGTTAACATAACTTAAGAGATTAAATATTTTTCCGGTGGTTCTCCCTTTTTTTTTTTTTAACCATGAAAGTATGTTCATTTTATATAATTTTTTTTTTCTTACAGCTGGAGAAGAAAACCTTGATCCAACCAGATTTCTGGACGACAGTCTGCTAAACTGGTGAAAATACACCAAATTGAATGCAGTTACAGTTCTGTTCTTGTTGAAGACATGAAGCATGTAAATAAAACTCGTGGACCCTTTTTGCTCCATTTGCGGTCTTAGGAACAGGCACAACTAGTTTAATTCTTCTAGAAGCAAAAGTGAGGTGGAGTTCCTAGCTGGGAATATCATTGCCTTTTATTATTATTATTATTATTAATTATTATTATTATTGCTTCAGGGCCTTCTGTCTTAGATCACCTTCTGTCTTACTCTCGAATTTTTTTAGATTATAAGACTGAATACTCCTGGTAGTGTTCTTTTTGTTACAACAGATACCCTCCTGATTTAATATTATTAGTTGTTGGTTTTCTCATCCTGTCACCCAACTTGCATTGTCTTGTCGTCACTCAGCAGGGACTCTCCTTCTCCTTGTCTCCCTTTCCCACGTCCGAGGAGGGTGGGGAGAAAGCATGGCAGGATGAGGAAGAGTAGAGTGTGATTCTCTTGGCAGTTCACCCAGATGTAAGTTATGCAGGGAAGGGGTGGGATGGACAGGAAGGAAGCCCTGTGATTGGAACACTCAGTGCCGTGGCTGGGAGAGGGATCTTCAGTGAGGCTGGAGAAGCTTGGAGCTCCCCCTTGTGCTCTCTGGGATCTGAATTCAGTTTAGAAACATGGATCTGAAAGTTACTGGAAAATCAGCAGATGAGACACCCTCTGTTCCTCTGTACCCCAGTTTTTTAGAGGTAACCCATTTTCCATGGCTAAACAGACTCCAAGACTGCTTACTCCAATGGACTAGAACGCTAGGCTTCTTTTGACATCAAAACATTATGTAAAGACACCCTGACAAAGCATGGTACAATGTCTAATTTACTTCTTTTTAAAGTCAACTTGGGTTCAATACTATCTGAAAAATATAGACACACATATACCTACAACACGCATAATGATATATTTATTTGTAAACACAATATGGCCAACTTGTTAATTATTTTTGACATAATTAATTGAAAGTTGTCATTGATAGATGTCATAACTAGAAAGTATTGTTAATTCTTATTGTCATCAATATATAGCCATTATTCAGTAGCTGAAGAATATCCTTATGTGAATGCCTGTAATTGGAATTACAATTTGACTGTGTTAAATAACCAAAACGCTGCTTATAAGGTTTGTCTGTAACTTGTTTCATAATTGAAAATGCAACTATATTCAAGTTAATGTAACATTGATCTCTGACAAAAAAATATGCTAGCATTAAAAAAATCTATGTGGCATCATAGTAGACACCTGTCATTAATTATGATTTGATTTTAAAGTGGATTTTCTAGACAGTGCATATATCCAGTTTATTGATAATTATTTACTCATCTGACATAGATTTGTACATATTGGCTATTTAAACATTATATCTATTCCCAGACCGTTTTAAAAACATGTTTATTGAGAGGAAAGGAGAGAGAGAGAGAGAGAGAGAGAGAGAGAGAACAAGAAACATCAATTTGTTGCCTCCCATATTCGCCCCAACCAGAGAGTTGGGGACCAAACCTACAACCTAGGAATGTGCCTGACTGGAAATCAAACCCTCAACCTTTTGGTGTATGGGATCAGGCTCCAACCAACTGAACTATACCGGCCAGGGCTATTCCCAAAACACTTTTTAAATCTATCTTATGAATAATAAAGACCATTATAAACTTATGAACAAAAATAGGTACAGAGGCAGTGCTGCCTCAAACAGACTGTCAAACTGCAGCGGGAAGGCCTGGGAGGGTAGGGGGGCAGAAGGGGGGTGAGAGATCAACCGAAGGACTGATATGCATGCATATAAGCATAACCAATGGACACAAGACACTGGGGGGTAAGGGGGGCCAGGGGATTGTCAAGGGCGGGGGGAAAAAGGAGACATATGTAATACCCTTTGTAATACTTTAAGCAATAAAATCTATCTTATGAAGTAATTCTTCCAACAGTGAACTAAAACAATCTCAAGTATTTTGCCCCCAAACAGAGTTTTTAAAAGCTGTCTACATGACCAGTTAAAATAATGCCAGCTCCATGTATTATAAGTAGATGAATTCTTCTGCTGTACAGATATGCTGATTAGCACAGTCATTGCATAAAGGCCCCCATGCCCAGTTTGCTGTAACTTTCTATCTCTTTGCAATCCTTTTTATTTCTGGTGTGTGTGTGTGTGTGTGTGTGTGTGTGTGTGTGTGTGTGTTGTTTTTCAACACTGAAATGAACAAATGATCAGGGATCAACATTTTTCACATTGTGCGGCTTGGATTTTAAAATTAGGAAATATCTGCCTCCCATGCATGCACTACCTCACCTCCAGGTCGGACTTTGAAGCCACTTTTAGCACAGTTCCAGTTGCTCTTCCCCTTCTTGCCTCTCTATCCTCTCCCCCCTGTGGCTATCCGGGCATTGTTTACATATATAACCTCCAGTGTGGGTTCTCAATTACTCTTTGTTTCCCTGGTTTCCCCAGACGATACCCCTCTCCTCCCACACCACCATTGGGATCATGAGAGGGAAGAGAAGGTGAAGAGGCCCTGACTTTAAAATAAGCTTCCAATTCACATTTCGTTCTTTACCTGGTTATGGGAAATGAAAGTCTATATCCTATCAACCTTGAGTTACATGATTCTACTTCCACCTCAGGAGAAAGGGAAGTTGAGAATGTAGCCTGTTTAGTCTCCTGATTCTGGACTGTAAGTTCCTTTAGGAAGAGTTCATTTCTGTTTTGCTTTGATCTTTATAACTGCCATGTGAAGCAGGCAATTGTGTCTCCCATATTACTTCATAGAAAGTTAGGCTCATCCTATGAAGCCTCTTGGGACTGCTCCCCACCCCCACCCCCACCCCCCTCCACACACACCTGGCCAGTTCCTTTTCTTAGTGCCCCTGTGCCCTGGAAAACGATTAGTATTGCACTTGTAATATTTTATATTCTCGTCTATGTGTGTAAAACCAGCTCTATTAACCCTAACTCTTACCATGGGAGGAAGTGTGGCACAACGCAGAAGAAAATGTCTTGCTGTCAGCTGGTCAAGCACACGCAAACCACTCTCTATAGTTCCTGTCCTCCACCTGCTGAATACCTACATTCTTTAAAAGCATCGTTTTTGTACCTCTTTCTCTCAATAAGACTATGCATTTATGCACCTACTGTATTGGGCCCTGTGCTAGACACAGAATCATCTAAAAGTCCTATTTGCTCCTCATCACCAGGATTTGTTCATCTTGGGGAGAAGACAATAAATTATCAGGACAAGGGGAAGGAATCAAGTGGCAGCAGCTGTCTGAACAGAGGGTCTGGTGCAGGGTAGAAACTGATGCTGACACATGCCACTCAAAACCAGGTGTTTGCAAATCAGTTAATTTCCATGTGTACTCTCCTTTGTACTCATTTCTAATCAGAGGACTCTTCTTTCATTTTGTAAAAAGCACTTGAATTTGAAAGTTTTATATTATGAACATATTTTATTATATAGCTCATAAGTGACCCAACCAATTACCAATCAAGAGTATCAACTGAATACATACAGTATGTCACTTTACCAGAGATATATTTTTATGGTTATTTAATAGTGAAACTCCTTTTTAATCATGAGATCTTTCTGGTACTTCAGCAAAAGATCTTAGTATCATAATACAAGTCCATCTCATATTTTTCTGATCTTCCATGCAGACCTTACAAATTGCTCTGCAGACACTGAGTTAACTGGCATCCATGGGGCATTATTCAAGGGTTGGGCTTTAATTTATTGCCCTTTTTTTCCTGAACATCTACATAAGGTGAGCTTGCAACTGTCTTCCATTTTGGCCTGATTTGTTGTTTTATCTACTGTTCTACTTTTTCCTAACAATGGGGCAATGGGAGAGCTGGATTATGGTTGTTAGCTTGTCTGGAACTATCTGACCCACCATCATTGTTATTCTTCCCCTGTTGCTATCAACATTATAGCACTGAGAAAACCAAAACATTTTTAGAGCCTCAATTAGCCAATTGAGATACCAACCAAGGTATTCACTGTGATGTAAATAATACTCAGTAACAACACTTGGTTGTGAAAAAAAACAATCCAAGAGTGAGTGTAGATTTGTTTTTGCCAATTTAGATTTAGTTACATTTAAAACACAAAGATGCTTAATTACATTCAACAAGGTCTCTATGCACAGCATGACTGTGTTAGAGACACTGTCCTTGTTATAGACTATAGATTTTATTTTTAAAAGATATTTTAAAATGTCCTTTGTAAGGCACTATTATGTAGCAGGTGCTTTATACATGTTATCTTATTTAAATGTCTAAAAGAATTTTAAACAAAACATTACCAATGAAAGTTAAATCTTTAAATATTGATATATTTATTCATTTGGATTTAAAAAATTATCATCTGTGGATGATTGACCAAGTTTTCAAATAAGCTTTCCTTTTAAACAATAAGAAAATTGTTACAGTCAGATGCTACAGTACAGGTGGTAACATCTTTCTATCATTAATTTGAGAAGTGTCCTTGTAAATATGCATGAATATGTATCAATATCTGGATTTAGGATAACTACTTTATTATGGGTTTTGATTGCCTGCAAAGCTAGATATAAATTCATGTTTTTGACTCATGTGAAAATGAAAATAATCATTAAAGAACGAGTTATTTAAAATATGTAGGTAGTGCACATTCATGCCTGAGAACAGAATCTTGGGTGGGGGAGGGATGAGGGACCTGTTTGGTAAGAATGGAAGCTGTATAAATAATAAGCAAAGGCTTATGGTGCTGATAATTTAAAAAACACTAGTAAAAATTGTTATTGCTTAAATTAACCATTTAAAAAACACTTCCAGTCCCTCTCCTTTAATTAACCCTCTTCCTCATGTCTAAATTTACTGGAGGGAAAGGAGTTTAAGAAAATAACTTGGCTTTTATTTTAAGTGATAAAATCGCTATTCATGTCATCTCCACATTTTAGGCAGAGAATAAATCCCACTGTGATTCTTAGAAGAAGGAAATGAGACTGGTGGCATTGCCATGGTTTTAATAACCATTCTTACTGTGCTCTCACTAAATGAGCTCTGTTCCACCAGGGGGGAATTCAGTTCTTATATTCACCATGCAGCTTTTTCTTCCCATGAGGGACATGGCCCAGAGAAAATGGTGACTTAATATTTAACCGATCCCTTTCCGCCTCCTCTTCCTCATTGTATCTCTCGTCTTCATCTTCGTCTTCCACATCACTGCTCTGAGGACTGGAGACCTGAGACCCCGTAGGAGAAGGTGGTACTGAGGAAGGCCTGGGGTATTTAAATCCCTCTGTCTGCCAAAGACAAAAATAAGATACAAGCATTATAACAACTTCTTAATTTTCCAATATGTAAATATTTTGCATGTGCATTTTATAAAAATCATAGTTGGATTTTTTTTTATGGCTGAAGGAGAAATTATTTCATTTACATACAATGTCTGTCTATGTATAAAATTTTATCTTTAAAAGATAAGTTAATAGTAAATTTGCGCAATTAAGTACCTCCCACTTTTCTGTTTGGGTTAATATTGAGATAGTATGAGGGTAACACTGGACTCCATCTTAGAGGCCTGACAGTGACTCCTTGCTTTTAGTAAAATTCCGTAGTTGAAATTAACCTGGCCACACAGTTGGATATTTTTTGTGGTCTGTTCAGGAGCTACTAATTTTTTTTTAATGAATTATTTTTTTTAATTGATTTCAGAGAGAGGAAGGGAAAGAGAGAGATAGAACATCAATGATGAGAGAGAATTATCAATTGATTGCCTCCTACACACACCCCTACTAGGGATCAAGCCTGCAACTGGGCATGTGCCCTGACTGGGAATTGAATGGTGACCCCCTGTTTCATGGGCTGATGCTCAACCACTGAGCTATACTGGCTGGGCAAGGAGCAACTAATTTTGATTCTGGTACCAACAAGCTCAAGAGAGATTCATTCAATAAATAGTTTTATTTTATTAATCATTGACTTGTGGCAGATACTATATATATGTTATTGTATTTAATCTTTGTAACAACACTCCAATAAATTTGTTTTCCACATTTACAGAAGAAAATTAAGGGTTAGAGAGGCCAAATGACTTGCCAAAGGTCATATAGCACATGTGGTAGAGCAAAGAGCTAAGGCCAGCATGAGAATCTCTCCAGAACTTTTAATCTCAACTGTTACATTACACTGCTGATCGTGTTAGTCTCTATGTCATCTTTTAGATTTGCTCGATGAAATTGCAGGACATGGGCAGCCACAACTACAAAGAATCCTGGAAACTGGGCCACTGAGCTAACTCTGAAATCCCACCAGCTGTTTTTAGTTCAGTTAATGAGAAAGTATCACTAAGTTTTAAACAAATTGTCCTTCCACCTAAGATTCATTGAGATAACTCATTTTATAAACAAATATTAAGCACCAAATATGGGTCAGGCATAATAACGGCAATGAGAAAACAAATGAAAAACATGATCCCTGCTCTCTAGGAGTGTACATGCTTGAATGGGGAGACAAATGTAAAACTATCACAGTACGTTACTGTATTTCAACTATTTTTATACATTATTATTATGTCATACTTGTACAGTATGACAAGTTCACATTTCAACACTCTATCTGAAAGCAACACAGAAAAACAGCTGAGTCCTGCACTTAGGACTTGACTCAGAAGAGATGCTCAATACTTAATAGCTGAATAAGTAGATTAATGAATGAATATAGCTGAATTACCTTCCACCTCTAAAAAGATAAGCACTCATTCTTTTAAAATCATGAACATGGGAGTGAAATTTGCAGAATGAGGGATTTACAAAATACTTTCTCCTTCTCTACGGGCAAATTTCACCTGTGCTAACTTTCTAGGTCTGTTCTGGACACCTAATATAGGTGGGATATAAATTGTATTAGTAGACAAAATTGTTTATGGTAAAGTGATCCTTGATTGAGAACTTAACACTGAACTTGGAGGATCTATAAATATTAAATGAGGATCCTTAGCTTTGGAGAATCCATGAATTTGATGAGTCTTGCAAGTGGGCATATTTTTGCAGAGACCATGGAAAATGTCTATGGAAATTGACATGAGATATTGGCTCCTGTGAGTCATAGAAGCTAAGCTGGATCTCATACCCAATGGTATGGTTCTCATCTTCTTGCACCTAACTATCACCTGAGGGGGACAAAGACATTTAGCTCTTTGACCACGATGTAGACTGCTGTAAGGACAATCCCACTGAAGAGAAATATCGATGCTGCCCTGCTTTAGGCAATGTTTCCTATCTTATATCCTTCTAAGTGAATCTGATGCTAAGTGGCTGATGTTGTCCCATAAATATAGTGTCTGGTTGGACTTTCGAAGACTCCCTGGTGGCCACTGCTGAATGGAACATAAATGTCCCTCCTGTCCAATCCCTCCTGTGGTGCTTGAATTCGGTCTATATTACTCTTGCCAAACAGTCACCCTACACTTAACCACTTCCTTGTATAGCAAATCAACTTCCTGTGCAAGCAGGCTACTGTATTTTGAACAACTCTCAAAAGAATGGATGTCTAATGGAGCAGTTTCGAACAAGAAGGCCGAGAGAGATTTCAAGAGAGATTTAACTGATTTCAGAGAGAGGAAGGGAAAGGGAGAGATAGAAACATCAATGATGAGAGAGAATTATGGATTGATTGCCTCCTACACACACCCCTACTAGGGATCAAGCCTGCAACCCGGGCATGTGCCCTGACTGGGAATTGAATGGTGATCCCCCCTGGTTCATGGGTTGATGCCCAACCACTGAGCCACACTGGCTGGTCAAGGTGCTTCTCTAATGACGTGAGTTAGCTGACTGTCTGCTCATCTTACACATGAGGCTGCCTTTGAATCAAGGGCTTCAAGTTGTTCTGATTTGTCAGTTTCTCTATTCTTTGCTTTGATGCGGCACTATGAAAAACTATAGTAGTTTGTGTACGTAGCTACTTCCAAATTAAAAGGTATTGTTAGGACTTACTCTAAATAAGAAATTTAGCTTTCAACACCAACAAGTAATACATAGAATACTTACCGTTGGTGGTGATGTGGATTCCGCATGGAATTTATCTGGAAACGCTCTGCTTAATGTCAGGTGCCTGGCATGCTGGTAATACTGTGATAGAAGACCGATTCACAGGTTAAAAAAAAATCTATATAGTTCAACAACCAAATTATTATGTAAAATGTTTTTCTTTTAGTTATGAAATATGTATTTTTAAGTGACAGATTCTATTCATTCTAAGTTTGAAAATCAGAAAAGAAATGACAGCTTGTGGTTTTCTTATTTACCAATGACCAGGTAAAGAAACACTACAGCCCGGCTGGGGTGGCTCTGTGATTGAGTGTCAACCCAGGAACCAAGAGGTCACCAGTTTGATTCCTGGTCAGGGCTCGAACCGCAGAATGGGGCACTCGCCGCAGAAGGCAACCAGTTGATGAAGTTTCTCTCTCATCGATGTTTCCATCCCTCTATCCTTTTCCCTTTCTTTCTCTCTAAATATCAATAAAAACATTTTTTAAAAGAAATGCTACAAAACATGGGAGGGAAAAAACAGACTGGCCTTACTGAACTTTGAATTAGTGCTAAGGGTTCATTCTACAGAGAAGCAATATGTGTGGAGAGAAATTATGAGACCCGAATAATCAGACAAACTGAATTTAAATCCCACTTTAGACCATAGGTAAGAAATGTAAGTCCGAAGAGCAGCAATTTTCAACTGGTGTGCTGCAAGAATTTTTAAAACATGCAATACCTGACTATTAGTCAAGGGCACTGACCTCTTTCCCCTCAGTGGTTCTCAACCTTCCTAATGCCGCGACCCATTAATACAGTTCCTCATGTTGTGGTGACCCCCAACCATAAAATTATTTTCGTTGCTTCTTCATAACTGTAATTTTGCTACTGTTATGAATCCTAATGTAAATATCTGATATGCAGGATGTATTTTCAGGGGTCGCGACCCACAGGTTGAGAACCGCTGCAAAGGAAAAAAATGACAACAGCCAACACAACAATAGTAGGACAGTTTGTGAATGAATCAAAATGATACTTATGCTTTTTGTCTGATAGACAAAAAAATATATACTTTTTGCTGCAGAATTTTGATAATTAGTTTATGTGTGCCACTAGATGAAAAAAAGGTTGAAAATCACTGCCTAAGAGCCTTATTATTCTGCTTTCATTATAAAATGAAGACAATAAAATGAATCACCCAGGGTTGTAATGAGCACTCTGCAAATGGCAGCATCTATCATTTGTCTGGGGAAGTTTAGCAGTATCTAAGCAGATACAATATGCGAAGGCAAAGTCAGTTCATCTTTTCTAAATTATCCAGTGCTAAGATATAGGAGTATCTGGGTATTTATGAACCTACTTCATGAAAGAAGGTGTTTCCCTTGGCACTTGTCATTTTGAAAAACAACATTATTCCCATTACCCCTGAGGCTGAGGAATAAAATCAGATTATCTCTTAGAGTGAAACAAGGTAGGGATCTTCTCTTGTTTTCCTCATCTTCATTAAATATTTCTGCTTACCTGTAATGTATCAAGTTAAGCAATGACAATAGAATGACTAGTAAAAATCAGTGTTAGATCCTGATGGCCTGGCTGTTAGAGGCTCAGACGAAATGTGAAGAATGGAGTTTAGGATTTTTCACATTCATAATATGTAAAAAAAAGTACATGAAAAGTCACTGAGGTTTTAACAATTATGATACCGAGTTGACTTTACAGATTATGCGGAGGATCAATACGTTTGTGGTCCAGTGGAATTTTTAAAGGGGTCCTCTGTGTTGATCACCAATTTGCTTACTCTGCCTAAGTATCTCCAGTCCAGAAGATCTGAGAGCCTCTCAGTTCGGTTCCTCTGGATAATTCTTTGGCGACGTGACTGTTTGCAGAATCCATAGAGAAACTTTGTCAGCTGATTGCAAGAATCATCCGGAGAGCGGAACCGCCTGTCAACAATGTAAATACCTGAGGGGCACAAAAGCCAATGCACAGGTAAAAGGTAGGGTTCACCTTAGAGCATTTCTTCTCCTATTAGGTTCTTTGGTAGATCACATGAACGATCTATTCCCTAGCTCCCCATTGCCTCTACTTTATCTTTTCCCTTCCAAGGCTGTGTCTCTTTGATCTCCTAATGGTTTATAACTGTCACCAACATGCAGCCAACAAAATAAAAAAATGAAAAAACATTTGGCAATATAGGGGTACCCTGAATCGGTGATTCTCCCTGGGCTTCTCACTAGCCAGAATCTCTAGGGTGAAACCTGGGTGTCAGTGGTTTTTAGACGCCCCAGTGTTCCATGTGCATCCATGGCTGAGAACAACAGCTCTAGCCTGAGGAAAGAGAACAGTGACAATGTAACTGTACAGGACCAGGGAATTGGCAACGTGTAGGCAGAGGATCCAGCCCATTGGAACTTGGCTTGTTGCTAGGCAACATGGACATAGAGATGGTGATAGGCAAATTCTCCAGCCATCTTAAATATTGCATGTGAATTTTGCTAACTTGGCATGGATCTTTTAAATAATTATGGTGACCAATATAGTTCTTGTAATATCACCTCTAAGACCATAGTTATTGTAATATCCCTTCTAGATAGTAGAGGGCCAAACCAATTCAGAAAAAAAAAAAAAGGTAAAGGGCAGGTTCATTTAAGTTTAACACTTCTTTTGCATTTTTTTTCCTGTTTCAATTTTATTTGTTCATTTAACTCCTTTTGTAGTTTGTATTTTGGACAATGTATTAAATATTAATAGCATTTTTATTCCTTCTATAGATGACATAATTAAAATATTTTATTGAACAAAAAAACCTGTAAACATCCATTTAATCAGGTTAGGTTTAGAGTTGGACTCTGTAAAGACCCTGCGCTTTGATTGGTTAAGTGTCATTTCTCTCTGGAGTGGGTTTATGATGAAACATCTCACCATAGGCAGTAGGATCAGCCACATGCTCCTGCATGAAACAGCCAAAGCCGGAGAGGTTGGTTGTCACGCTGGGGATACCCATCACAGTGCACTCGGCTGCCAGGGAAACAGACAAAGGCTTGGCTTTAAACCAGCTCCGGTGTCCTCTGATGCACGCAGAGGAGGAAAAAGCCCCCATCTAGCTAGTAATAGCAATGTTTCCTTTGTGCCAGGCTCAGTACTACGCTCTTTACATGTATTAACTCATTTAATTTTCTCAACAACCCCGTGAAGTGAGGTTACCATTATTTCCATCTTGCAGATGAAGAAATTAAGGCACAGAAAAGTTAAATATAGCTTGCCCAAATTCACAAAGCCAAGGGGGAGCGGTAGGATTTCCAGCCACGTGCCCCACTCCAGAGACCTGGCTGGGAACAGCTACCCTATACTGCCTCTCTCAGTACTAGTTTTGCTTTTCACTCCATTTCTACGTATTTGGAAGTTAATGGGGTAGGTAAATATTTTGGACATGTTTTTGAAATCTTCCTCCACACAAATCCCGTGAACCCATTGTCTCTCTCAGTCCTCTCTCACCTTTTTTGGTCAAAATTTGTTTGTTTTTGGTCAAAATTTGTTTGTTTTTTCAGAAAATATCAGATATGTCTTGCGAATATTACCACTCTCAGGGATATCTGCATTTTAACAAAGACATTGTATTTGATTGTGGAATAACTCTTGGTTGGCTAGTGGGGTTGGGTAAAAAAGAAAGAGATTTCCCCATTACCCATGAAGTAACACAATTAATCAGTGGCCCTTTCTCCTGCTCTGCAAGTATTTCCTCTTGGTGTATCTCTAGAGAGCAGTGGTTTCCTAGTTTAGGATGGGGAGGGGTAGGTGGAATGGGATTATTGACCCATTTGAGAATCTGATAAAAACTCAGGAAATCGTCCCTAGAAAAACTGTGCTACAATTCGATGGAACTTAACAGATCCTTATTTTTATTAAGTACTCATTAACACACATGTAGTAAAATGCCAGGTATCCATGTAAGCTCAGTATATGTTCATTCGGTGAATTTAATGAAATAAGTGCTTATATTCATTGTGCTTTCTCAAAGCACAAACTTTAATGAATACTTTCTGGAGTGAATTAGAGTTAGTGTCACATAAAATCATTATTCTTAAAAAAAATTAGAGATTTATCTAATAGGCTAACACCAACCTTATAGCACCAGAGGTTTCATTTTTTCTGTAATTATAGGTCTGATGAGAAGTGGCCATCTTCCTTGGGTTAATTCAAAACAGAATGACTCATTCACTATGGAGTATTCCCCAAACTGTTTCTTTCATTTAGTTATGTTTTATAACACCTTGAAAACTAGATATAACTCCTCTATCATTTCAGGTTACGTTTAACTTTGTCCTGTAAAGCGACATTTTTGCTAGAAATCTGCCATGAGTTATAAATCATTCTCTTTACCGATATTAGTGATCTCCCACATTCCCTCAGTCACTTAAGCTTTGGTTTTGTGCTTCTCTATCCAATAGTAAATTAAATGTCAACTTGGAATATCACACGATAAGCATGAAGTAAATTCCAAAACATTCCACATCTATACAGGTCACGTACCTGGAGTATAACCCCACGGCTCATAGTATGACGGAAATACTCCAAGGTGACAACCTCGGACGAACTCTTCATAATCCATGGGTAACAAGGGGCTGGTGGAGGATAGGAACTCTGGGTGCAAAATCACCTAAAAAAGGAAAATTCTGGTGAGAAAAAATAGGGAGAAAAAAAATTAAAGCAAAAAAAAAAAAGGCCTACAGTTTGGTTATTATAATCCTGTAAAATCCTTGTGTTCTAAATTCAGGGGAGAAAAAAGCCTGGGGGCTTCTTTTCTCTTCTCAACATCCTGTGTCAGTGTCTACTCTGTGGACTGTTTCCCTCAGACCAAGGCCAGGACTGGAGGATAGGGAGTTTGCATGCCATCGTTGTTCTCATGCTAAACTATATCCTCCAACCCGGCCTTTACTGGCAATAAAGGTTTTATTTGTTCTCTAACTGCTTCTATTTCACTAAGGTCTTAACACAACCCAGAGTGGACCTTTAACAATGTCAGCCACTCCCCTGCTCAAAATCCTTCAGCAGCCTCCTATTTCACTCAGAGGAAAGCCAGTGTTTACCACAGCCTTTAAGCAGTGGCGTGCTGGTAAATGTTCAAACACCAAAAGTCAGAAGTATAAACATGTATTTGTACATAAGTTTATTGTCAATTTTACTGATGGAAAGATAGCATTATAGTATATAATTTCCAAACTATAAAAATGTACATGCAAAAAATCTGCACACAAATGTCTATTATCAAATGTATTCATAATTGTTAAAACTTAGAAGCAACCAAGATGTTCTTAAGTAGGTGAAGGGATTAATAAACTATGGTACATCCAGATGGAAGATGTGCTATCAAGCCATGAAAATACATGAAGGAACCTTAAATGCATATTACTAAGTGAAAGAAGCTAATTTGAAAAGGTCACATACTGTATGTTTCCAACTATGTAACACTGTAGGAAAGGCAAAACTATATAGACAGTAAAAACATCAGTGATTAGCAGGGGATAGGAGGGAGGGAGAAATAGTGCACAGAAGATTTTTAGAACAGTGAACTATCCTATACATAGTGTGTGTGTGTATATATATATAAAAGCCTAAGCGATTATTAGGATAGGTCAACCTAATGACCGGCCGGTAGCTATGATGTGCACTGACCACCAGGGGGCATACACTCAATGCAGGAGCTGCCCCCTGTGGTCAGTGCCCTCCCACAGCCAACCTCCCGTGGCCAGCCAACCTCCTGTGGTCCCTCCCTACAACCAGCTGACTCTGATTGGCTCTGATCAGCCTCGATTGCTGGCCAGGCCAAGGGACCCCACCCGTGCACAAATTCGTGCACCAGGCCTCTAGTCATACTATAATGGTGAATACATGTCATTATACACTTATCAAAAACACATAGAAGGTACAACACCAGGAGTGAATCCTAGTGTAAACTATGGATCTTTGGTGATAGTGATGTGTCAATGTAGGCTCATCATAACAAATATATCTCTGTGGTTGGGGATGTTGATAGTGTGTATGTGTGTGTGGTGGGGGGGATTGTGCATGCTTGGGGGAAGATGATCTATGAGAACTCTCTATACTTTGTGCTAAATTTTCTGTGAACCTAAAACTACTCTAAAAAATAAAGTCTATTAAAAAAGCATAGACCTGGCCAGTGTGGTTGCTCAGTGGTTTGAGCATCGTCCTGTACACCAAAAGTTAGGGGGCTCAATTCCCTGTCAGGGCACACATCCCGGTTGTGGGTTCCTTCTCTGGTTGGGGCTCGGGCAGGAAGCAACCGAACAATGTTTCTCTCTCTTTCTCTCTCTCTAAAATAAAATTTTTAAAAAGTTAAAGAAATATATGTATATGTATATATGTGTGTATATATATATATATATACACACATATATACACATATATAATACTCTTCATTGTTAATTCTATATAAATTAATTATAACATAATGCTTTTGTTGACTTTTTAGAAAATCTTGTATTCATTACCGACTTATGGTTTTAACTGATGACTGAATATATTTCTTTTTTTTTAAAAAATATATTTTATTGCTATTTTACAGAGAGGAAGGGAGAGGGAGAGAAATACAGAGTTAGAAACATCGATGAGAGAGAAACATCGATTCAGCTGCCTCTTGCATGCCCATTACTGGGTATGTGCCCGCAACCCAGGTACATGCCCTTGAACGGAATCGAACCTGGGACCCTTCAGTCTGCAGGCCGACGCTCTATCCACTGAGCCAAACCAGTTAGGGCCACTTTTTATTTTTTATTCACAGAATAAGTCTATATTCTTCCAAAGAGATTACTTTGAAAAAAACCCTAATTTGGATATATAGAAATACTGATAACATTAGTTGTATATAATACTTTATACATTATAAATAATTTTCTTTGCAACATTGTGAGATGAGTAGAATAGACATTCTCAATGTCCTAATTTTAGAAGTAAGGAAACTAAGACTTTACAGGCATTAATTATATATATATATATATATATATATATCAGTAAATTCATAAATAGGAAATATGTTAAACTTAAGAGTAAAAAAAATCATAATTTTCCAAAACCAGTACCATAAAAATGATTTATTCAATCACAAGAATAGCACATTGATAAAGTAAAAATGGATAAGATATTTTTTCTAGAAAGCATGATTTGAGTTTCGATTATTACACTAGGAAAGGAGACCAAAAACACAGATATGACTGTCTGGGCAACCATCAAATCAACAACCCATTATATTCTCTTGGCATATATTAGGAAAGGGGGATTTGAAAGGCATTGTGCCTATTTGGCATGTCCACACTTAGGAAAATTTGTACTCTCCAAAGCCCATTTTGGAACATGAAAACACCATGGCTTGTTTGTTTTGTTCCCAGCCAAACAGAATGATCAAGTGACTAAAATAAGAAGACAGCTGCTCTGGGCCCTAAAACAGGCGATTGCAGAAGCCCAAGGTGGAAGAAAGGGTATTAAAAGTCAGCCCAAGGTTATGGGAGGGATTAAATGAGATCCTGTATACAAAGCCCCCAGCAGAACACCTGGCTTCTATCAAGCCCTGGATCAATACGGGAAAAACAAATGAACTAAAATTTGTTTGACTGCATTTATCTTAGGAGGGAAGTAAGTTCCCAGGAAGTTAGTTACAATCACAGTGTCAGTACAGGGCGATGACCTGGAATTTGCAGTCTAGGCTTTTCTCACTATACCCGACTGCTGACAGAGGATAAATTCAAAGTCAAAATAATCTGCAACATTTCCTCAATCAATGGTCACATTTCTATAAAAACTTGTCAGTTCACTCTGAAAGTTAAGAATTACTCTATCCTATATAATAAAGAGCTAATATGCAAATGGTCATCACGCCCTTGCGCCCTCATGCCTGGGCTGGGGGACCTGAGGCTGCGCCCCCTTGCCCGGCGGGGCTTGACGGGGGAACTGAGGCTGGCCCGGGGGACCTGAGGCTGCACCAGGGGACCTGAGGCCACACCCCCTGCCTGGCACCAGGCCGGGGGACTTGAGGCTGTGCCCCCCTGACCAGTGGGGCTTGACAGGGGACCTGAGGCTATGCCTCCCGCCCCAGTGCCAGGGCTGGGGGACCTGAGGCTGCACCCCTTGCCCGCTGGGGCTTGACAGGGGTGGGGCTGGCCAGGTCTGGGTCTCGCACGATTTCAAGGCACATGCAGGTGGGCGGGAACTTGACTCTGGGTCCGGCAGCATGCCCCAGATTCTGACAGGAGGGAGATTTTCTTATACATTTTACTAATTTTCTTTCATCTCTGACACTTATATTATAGAGAAAGGGCAAATAGCAACATTAAAATATTTTCTCTAATTAATTCCCTTTTAATGTGCACAAATTTCATGCACCAGGCCACTAGTAGAGTTCTATAAATATACAGGCATCAAATAGGACTTATATTATTAGCACAGACCCCAAGTTAATATCAAGTTTTTAAAGGATATCTATATAATAAACGCCTAAGTGACCATTACGGCGGAACGACTGGAATGACTGATCGCTATGATGCACACTGACCACCAGGGGCAGACGCTCAATGCAGGAGCTGCCCCGTGGTAGTCAGTGCGCTCCTACAGGGGGAGCGGCTGCTCATCCAGAAGCTGGGCTCACGGCTAGTGAGCACAGTGGCAGTGGCGGGAGCCTCTCCCACCTCCACGGCAGCACTAAGGAGCAGCAAGCTGAGCAGTAAGGAGCCTGCCACTAAGGATCAGTGAACCAAGTGGTAAGGAGCAAGCAGGTGGGAGGTAAGGAGCGAGGGATCCTGAATTGCGAGAGGATGTACGACTGCCGGCTTAGGCCCGATCCCCTGTGGGGGATCGGGCCTAAGTCGGCAGTTGGACATTCCCTGAGGGGTTCCAGACTGCAAGAGGGCGCAGGCCAGGCTGAGGGAACCTCCCTTCCAGTGCATGAATTTCATGCACTGGGCCTCTAGTTATTAATAAAACACAATACCTAATTCTGAACTGACCAAAGTTTATTTCAGTGCTTTGAGGATATATTGTTAAGAAGGGTTATTCTTTTATTTCTTTTGTATATGTGTGTTTGCTTTATGATAATAAATGAATATCTCAAAATATTGATGAGTATAACTGCATAAACAATTTGTATGAGATGAACTTCCTCTTCCATTCACTCTTTGTAAGCCATGTGCTATTGTATCTCTATGCCTTTTCATCTACTTCTGCTGGGTGAGTCCTCCTTCCTGTTATTTGCAGATAAACTACTGCTCATGGGTCAAGATCTAGCTCACTTGTCATCTCTTTGATAAAACATTTTTTCAAATCCTGCAGGAAAGACAAATCTTCCATCTTCTACTGGACTAAGTACAAATAAAAGCTAATGTTCATTATGAATTGACTGTGCTCCAATATTGTACTAAATGTAACATCTATTACTTTTTAAAACCTACAACAATTCTATGAATGCGGGCCTATATTATCATTTTAAAGATGAGAAGATTGAGGTACAAGCAGATTAAGTAACTTATAAACTGAATAAGTGGCAGAGATTTGAAGCCTGACAGTGTGAGTACCGTCTTTAAGGACTTGGTATGTTGCCTTCTTTAGACATGTGGCTGTCCTGAATTAGCTGTTAGATTTCCTCTAAGACATCCTGGACTGGGGACCTTGACTGACAGCCCCAACTGCATCCACCATAGCAGCTGCTCCTGGCTTATAGACAGGCAGATATGGGTACTAGTGCCAACCCACATCTACCCAGTGGGTGATTATTTTAATGGGTAACTTTTGTTTGGGGAATCCCTGTTGCTATTCATATGAATCCCCATTAAAATGGTCACATCCAGCTGCTCATAGAATAAGGCAGTCATCTGTTTGAAACTGTTTTGGTAGGTGAAAGATCAAGAAAAGGCTCCTAAATACAGCAAAATGTTGTATGTAGTAACACTAATGTATTTAAAATAAGTCAATAGCAAACCACACACACAAAGACATCTTTTGTATTAAGAAAGGAAGCATTGTAAAATAAGATGAATTTGGGTTGGCCTTTGAAAACTTTCTTCTTGTTTTTTTTGTTTCTTTTTGTGGGCACATGCGCACCCATGTGTATGTGTTTTTTCCACTAACTGACAAGCCATGTTGAGTTGTCTTGGTCCACTGCTTTCCCCCTTTTTGAGTCACTACATGGTGCTGCTATGTGTGTACATTTTCATGCATTTGTTCCTCATTATGAATTCTAGCTTTTTGCTAATTACATTTGACTTCCCTTTCTGTAAAAAAAAAAAAGAAAGAAAGAAAAGAAAAGGCTGAGACTGTTTGAGAAATGGGCTGCAGTCTGTGGCTCTTCTTACCGCCCCTTCCTTCCTGCTTTCTTTGCAATGTCTGACTGCACCTCCCCGCCTGCTCATGCTCTCACCTCTTTATCCTTCACACATTTCTTCCAACAAGTGTTTTCATATCTAGAACTGTCTTAGTGTCTACTTCTCAGAGGATAAAACGGGAAAAAATATGGGACATTATCACTGCCTCAAATAACTCAGTCTCTCTGGAGAAAGGGATAGATTTCATATATATATATATATTTCAATGTGATCATTCCATTAATTTCAGTAGTCTTAGGAATGCAGATAAGGAAAGAGGTGTTCTGTCTGGAGTAGATGACTGTATAGTAAGGAAAAGTGCAAGGAAGAGATGACTTTTGATTTGGATCCCAAAGCAATAGCTAGAATGACTGAGATAAGGGTATTTCAGAAAGAGAGAACAACATTAGTCAGCAATGACACAGGGGTATGAAAGTGTTAGTATGTTCATTATATGAGGTTCTTGCCCAGTTCTGGGAAGTTGCCTCACTGCTATCACACTTAAAAAACAACACATAGATCAGCAAAGTATACTTTGTTCAAAACTTCAAGGGACCTCAAGTCACAGTAATCCCAGGAGCTAAGAAAGTCAGCTTCATCTCTCCTTTTCCACCTTCCCACATCATCACCTCTATCTGCATTTATTGCATATAACATGTTCCAGGCACAGACAGGTTGTCAGAGGAAGATTCACAAATATGGTCGGACATAAAATGTTCTAAGAAAAACAGAAATCTACAGGAAAATAAGAGGCTTTCTTGCTCCCACTATTTATTTCCTTTTGAGAGACAAAAATTATATATACAAGTAAATAAAATGAGAAGCACCAATTGAGGGTAAATTATATGAGAAGGAGGCCAAGCTACTGTTAATATACTCTGATGAGTCTCTCTGGATCCAATCCAGCTGAAACACGTAAAGGAAGGGGCATCCTTGGCAGAGACAATCCTGCATTTCCAGGGGAAAACTTGTAGCCTGACTATTTATTATAGAAGGTATGCTAAGTGTTGAAAAGTTTGGAAATGCAGAAACACAAATGAGAAAAGACAAACCACCCATATTGTATGGCACAGGGCAATATACACACATACATGCATGTGTGCATGTGTGTGTGCGTGCCTGTGTGCGTGCATGTGTGTGTGTATGTGTGTAGAATATCTATAATAATAAAAGTGTAATATGCTAATTAGACCAGACAGCGGGGGTTGAGGCAGAGGCAGTTAGGGGCGATGAGGCAGGCAGGCAAGTGATTAGGGGCATCAGGCAGGCAGTCAGAGTGGTTAGGGGCAATCAGGCAGGCATGCAGAGTGGTTAGGGACGATCAGGCAGGCAGGCAAGTGGTTAGGAGCGATCAGGCAGGCAGAGTGGTTAGGGGCGATCAGGCAGGCAGGCAGGTGAGTGGTTAGGAGCCAGGGGTCCCGGATTGCAAGAGGGATGTCCGACTGCCGATTTGGGATCAGGCCTAAACCAGCAGTCGGACATCCCCCAAGGGGTCCCGGATTGTGAGAGTGTGCAGGCCGGGCTGAAGGCCCCCCGCTCCCCTGTGCACTGGGCCTCTAGTATTTGAAATAAAAAGACTAACACAGCATGGAACATTTTATAAATAGCTAGAGAATTTCTTCTGCTTGATTTCTGCAATATTTTCCTTTTCTAATTCTCTGCTCTTTCTTTCCCTGACTTTTTATCTTATAATCCTCATCTTAAATCTCCACTCATTCAACTTTGTCTTCCAACATGGCAAGGTGGTCATTCCCTGGTCTCCACTACTGTCCATGCACTGGTAGCTTCCTTTACAACTGCCCTTGTAACCCTCAGGCCTATGTTTTCTAAGTAACATCTCAAATTGAATATCTCACATGTCACTCAGAGTCATTCTATCAAAAACTGAACTCAATTCATGACATGACTCTCAAACCAATTTCTGTTAAAACTTTTCCTTGGATTTTAGAATCTGTTGGTTAGATACTGAAGCCAGAAGGTTATTACTCTTGCCTTCTTTCTCTTTCTCACTTCTAATGTCCATTGGTCACTAAGTGTGATCTTTTCTATGTGCCACCATCTCTCCCATTGTTTCATCCTCTCCAGTACATCTGACACGGCCTTCGTAAGGGGCCCTCATCATCTCTCACCTGTACTGTTGCAGCGAGTCCTTAATTTGTCTCCTTCCACTACATCCACCCAAGTCTACATCAAGGACTGAATAAAAGATAAAAAGTGAATATAAGAATAGACTGATATAAGAAATTTTGCAGAACAGGAAAGATAGAAACATTTAAGAACATCAAAAGGAGACCGGGTTAAGGCAAAGTTGTTTTTTAATGTAGAGAAATTAAAAGAATATTTGTCAACAGCAAGGAAAAGAGTTGTCTTTTATTGCCTACACTGTAAGAGAAGGTAAACAGGTTAAGTTTCCCACGAATGTGAGAGGGAATGAGATCCTTTAAAAATCCTTAGGACCTCAAGGAAAGGAACCCAGAAGAGGTAAAAAATCTATAGTTGAGGCCAGTAGGGACACTGAAGGAATTCATACTTTTGAATTCTCAGTTATGCCATCTGCTAAAGGTGAACGAAAGAAGGGAAAGGGAGACCTTTGAAAAGATTGGTAAATGTTTGACACCTTGATCTTGAATACTGGTGAATGAAATTGAGTAGGGTTAAGCAATTATTTGTCGACATGTTCACCATTGCCAACCACACTTAGCAAATGCCTGCAACAAATAGGCCCTCAGTAAACAACAGAGAGGTTAGGCATCACAGTGGTAGAAACCAGGTCTTAGTCATACATCGAGCATTGTGCCTAGTCATTGTAGAAACTCAAGAGTCAAAAGTACAAATTGGTCTATAGAAAATTGCATAAAAACATCGTTAGTCACATTTTTTAAAACTGGAAACTTCTCATATTTTGCCTTTAAGTTGAACATTATCAGAAAGAAACAAAGATAATTCATGTAATCTCAGAGATTTTTTAATTAATTCTTAGAAAATATTTAAATCATTAAAAATTAGATAACCTTATGCTTACTAACAGATTGTACAGTGAAAATAAATGCTAGAATTATGAATCATAAAGCCATAAATATTCTTCAGTTCTCAAGAATGATAGCAAAATAGTCATTATCTTTTAATTACCCAAGAGAGGAAACAAAATTAATCTCCTTTAGAAAACAAATAAAGGAGGCTTCTAATAAATTCTCAGTAAATATATGCTATGTCACCTTGAAGTGACCTACAGAAACAATTAGTTCTACCTTAACTCTGTCTGTGCGACTGTTGAAAAGTCCAATCCGTCTAATGGTGCTGAGGATGGGGTCAGTGGAGTCATCCATCATGTTGTGAGTGGTCACTGGAGGCAAAGACTGTCGCTGAAGTAATGGAAGAAAATGTCAATTATGGAAAGAATTAATGTGTGACTAATTTCAACAATAGGTCATTGGCAACATGTCATACAACCTTCCTCCAGTCTTTTGAGACGATACTAATGACGATGACTAAGTTTTGTGTGTTTCAGAGGAGGAAAATGGGTTCAAGCACTGCCTTTGTATATGGTGAACACATGCTACTTTTGTTTTTCACCTGCAGCCACTATACAAAAGGCCAAGACATCTTGCCTGCTCCTGGGACTTACTTGAAATATGAATGTCCTGAAATCTTGCCTTGAGAGGAGCACCTCTTTTATTTTTATTTTATTTTATTTATTTTATTTTTCTTTATTGATTAGGAGCTCCTCTTTTAAATCCTTTAGTGGGGCTGTCCTCCAGTGTCTGATCCCTCACTATTATGACAAGAGTTTGCTGTACGCCTAACACAACACTTACCTTTTCTTCTTTGCAATAATTCTACTTGTCTGAGAAACATTCACGTTTTCTCTACTGTAACTCAAAATTCTATGCTTTTTGAAAAAATTAGTTTTTTATTGTCATTGCACATACACTTCTTTTCAATTGGACACAATGGTTCCAAATTATTATTATTATTATTATTATTATTATTAGTGCCCGGGGAGAGTGCAAACACAGTCCCTCACTACCACAAATTATGCAGTTGAGTTTTCTACATTTGGGGACATCACAGGGGTCAGCACACCCAGAATGCAATGGGTGAGCCTTGCCCTGGGAAACTACCCTTGGGATCATGGCATCTTCCCTGCTAAGTAAATATCAAATATAATTTTAAATTGGATACAAGAAAAGCCCTGTGTCCAATCTCTCTTATGAACCACTCATAAAAGAGAATACAAAGTTGACATTTCGGTGAATACAGAAGAATGACTTTCTAGTCCTTGAGTTTAAAAATTTCCCAAATTAGCCCATTCCAATAAATTAAAATATCAAATACATTGATTTTAACATTGGGAAGTGGTAGGCACTTTTTTCTTTACTACCTGAGTTGAAAAGATGGCTCTTTTCATTATTGTTAGATCATCTCGATCCAAAATATTGTTCATATCAGGAATTTCTCCTCTGTGGGAAAAACAATGTTAATAATAAAAATAAAAACAACTGGCACTAATTTGGTGCTCTTTTGTGTCAGATACTGTTCTAAGCACTTTAAAAATAAAAGTAAATATAGTTTCCAGATGAAGCTCACAGATAAATTCCTAAAGTGTGAAGAAGTTTGGTAAAGATAGCATTGCTCCAGCCAGGTGGCTCAGACAGTTGGAGTGTTGGGACTCATACAGGAGGCAACCAATACCAATTCTTGCTTCACACTTCAATATTATCTCTCTCTCTCTCTCTCTCTCTCTCTTCCTCCCTTCCTCTCTAAAATCAACAAGCATATCCTCAGGTGAGGATTTTAAAAATAGCATAAAAAATCAAAATTGATTTTTTATAGCATTCATGTTCACCATCAGGGGACACTCTCATTGTTTTGCCCATTTCTGAGTACTACATTCTAGAGTGGCCATAACTTGTCCACCTATAAGTTGATATTTTTACTGGTAAATAGAAATGATGTTCACCTACTACCATGGGTCAGGAGACAACATAGTTTTCAAATCACAGAAAAAATCATGTATTTTATTATTATTATTAGGTTATAATACATTTAAATTTGATTTTGTTACTTAGTCTTTATTATATCTGTAAATTACATATATTATTTATTATTTATTAATAAACACATACTCAGTAATATTAATGTTAATTAATATTCATTAATATGTTTGGTTAATAAATAAATCCTGATTTAATATGTCAACATAATTAATATATTAAGCCAATATATACTTTGACTTAAAATCTCATGAACTCTTAGCTTCAGATTGGCATACTAACATTTAACAAGATTTTCATTGAATTAGAACCTATTTGCATATATAAATATGTTCTCATTTGTAAAACCTGTTTACAAGTGTTTGTCAGATGAAGGATAAAAGAAAACCTACTGATATGATGTCACACATCTTCAAAGGTTATTAATTCCTTTATATTCAGAATAACATAAATATATTATACCACTAAAACTGTTAAGATGGAATGTGACATCCAAATGTTTGAGGTGGTACGTGTTCCAAACACCTACCTTAATAAGGCATCATAGAGTTTCTTTCCAAACTTTTCCTTCACAGAATGTGCAATGTCCCTGATTGGGAAAAAAAAATCTATAATTTAAACAGTGTCACAATTTTACATCTTTATTCATCATGATAACGCTGTTGTCAGTACATTGTTAAAATTACAGTTCTCTTTTGTATAGACTCCTCTATTATCTTCGTATTTGCCAATTTGGCTTGAGTTAAAACCCCCAGAGCTGAGGCAGCAGAACCCTGACCAGCCCACATTGTTTAACTTTTTTTTTTTTTTGCTTGATGATATTCAGGGTAGGGCTGAGGGCTGGGAGGGGGAGTGGATGCAGGTATAGATGTAACAAGATTGGGAATGTGTTGATAATTGTTGAATATAGGCTATGGGCACATAAGAGGTCATTATACTAATTTGTTTACTTTGCCATGTTTTTATTTGCATAATAATTTTTAAAAAATTCAACCCATCTTTAAAGAGTTCTACAGAAGCTTTATCCTTCCATGGTAGCCTATTTCAAAATTTTTATTGTAACCCGGTTGTATAGCCATTACCTAATCTAGCATCATAGCCCAATGAGAAGAGAACCAAGTAGTATTTATGCTATAATAATCTTAAAGGAAAAAATAGTTCAGGAATATATATCAGAAATCATGCACATAAAATAACCTTTTGCAGTTTTTGCTTGAGAACATTTATAAGACGTGAGATTACCATAGCTGCTTTCGCACTGCCTGGCCTTTCAGGGTTTCCACATTGAAATTGTTTGTCTTGGCAGGCATAATGAAAAACACCACCACTGTGACATCACTTTTATGCATCTAATGAGGAATCAGAAAACATAACAGAGTCAATGACCAAAGTTCAAATAAAACATGTGACAGATGGACCTTCCATTTTGAACAAACAGTGTTTAAAAACATCTTTAGGCAAAAAGAGTACTTTTTGTGATTCACAGAAAAATTGTACCCATCTTCCTAAGGCTTTTTCAGAAAATTTATTTTAAATTGGGCTTTCAATAGATGTTTGTTGATTAAAAATTTTAAAATTCAGACAAAATATTTTCATGGCATGAATCACCTAAAATACCTAGCAATCGATATTGTTATCACAATCTTCTCTGTAGTTAAGAAAGTAATACAAATTTGAGCTAATACTAAAGGGTCAAAATTCGCTCTTTAAAATTTAAGATTGGAAACTTAATGAGGATTTAGTTTTGGTTTATTCTATTTTTTCCCCTTAGCTTATATACACTGACTTACACAAAAGATTATTTACATTTTTTGTCAAGTTTCTTGATTCTCATGATATCGCATTTTGGTTTTTTAGCACGAAGGTAGAGAAGCAAACATAGGGTCAGCAATTTTGTTGATGCAGACACTGTGCTGGATGCTTTAAATGCACAATTCAACCCAATCCTTGAATCGCTGTGCACAATAGATGTCACTCTTCTTGTTTTACTGACATCAGAAGAGAGGCATGGAGGTTCCATACAGACATCTGACCTCCTATAACAGATTAGTGGCAAAACTGAGATTAAAACTGGAGTTTAAGACTCTAAAATCTGTGGGATTTTTTTCCTCTTCCCACAAATATTATTGGCCTAGCATCTCTCTCAGAAGGAAATGACATATCAAACGGCCATGGGAATGAAAGCATAAACTCAAACCATGAACAGATGAACGCTCATATGATCTAGAAATGACTATCTCCTGAGTGCAGGGCATTTATCATCTAATCTGCCACCTCGCACTCTAGGGCCTGAAAATCTATGAACATAGGGATGCATATATCCTTTCTGATTGGTGTTTCTAGTTTCTAGTTTCTTGGGATATATTCCTAGAAGTGGGGTTACTGAGTCAAATGGGAATTCCATTTTTAATTTTTTGAGGAAACTCCATACTGTCTTCCATAGTGGCTGCACCAGTCTGCATTCCCACCAGCAGTGCACAAGGGTTCCTTTTTCTCCACATCCTCTCCAGCACTTGTCCTTTGTTGATTTGTTGATGATAGCCTGACAGGTGTGAGATGGTACCTCATTGTTGTTTTGATTTGCATCTCTTGGATGATTAGTGACTTTGAGCATCTTTTCATATGTCTCTTGGCCTTCTGTATGTCCTCTTTCAAAAATTGTCTATTTAGGTCCTTTGCACATTTTTTGATTGGATTATTTATCTTCCTTTTGTTAAGTTGTATGAATTCCCTATAAATGTTGGAGATTAAACCCTTATCAGTGATAACATTGGCAAATATGTTCTCCCATGCAATGGGCTTTCTTGTTGTTTTGTTGGTGGTTTCTTTTGCTGTGCAGAAGCTTTTTATTTCATAGCAGCACAATTTACAATACCTAAGATTTGTAAACAGCCTAAGTGCCCATCAGCAGATGAGTGGATTAAAAAACTGTGGTACATCTACACAATGGAATACTACGCTGCAGTAAAAAAGAAGGAATTCTTACCATTTGCAACAGCATGGATGGAACTGGAGAGCATTATGCTAAGCAAAATAAGCCAGTCAGAGAAAGATAAGCATCACATGATCTCACTCATTTGTGGAATATAGTGAACATCATAAACTGATGAACAAAAATAGATACAGAGACAGAGAAGCATTGAACAAAGTGTCAAACTTCAGCAGGAAGGCAAGGGAGGGTAGGAGGGGGGTAAGAAATCAACCAAATCAACCAAATGACTTGTATTCATGGACACAGACACTAGCGAGGTGAGGGCATATGGCGGGGAACGGGGAGGGGGGGTGGAGGGGAGAGGCCAGGGAGAAGTCAATAGGGGAAAAAGGAGACATATGTTCTACTATTTGTAATACTTTAAACAATAAAAAAGAAAATAAGTCTATGGAAGCCATAGCACAGGAAACATGATATAACATTGTAGAGCTTCCTTACCCTCAGCAGGAAATTGAGCCTGGATAAGGACTCTAGGAAGATGTCAGCTCCTTTGTTTGAAAACTCATACCTCCCAGCGATGAAAAAGAACAAAGTTTTTTCAAGATCAAAGTCCAGATGACTAAAACAAAACAAAACAGTTTCAAATGAAAGAAAGCACCAGCAACAAAATGTACACAGGAATCCTGTTAAAGTACAAAGGGGATGGGAAAGATAAACATGTACTGTAACAACACTGTTTTCTCTATACCAGAGATCCCTAACATTGCACCCTGATTTTTTTTAAGAAAGAAAAACACATACCCATAAAAATGACCCCGAACAAATTCTTGTATCCTAGCCTTGTACATTGCATGTAGATTTTGAAACTCATGCATTGCTGAAAATTTCTTAACATTCAAGCCATTTGGAGTAACTACATCTGGAAAAGCAAAAATAAAAGTTATGAAAATGTTCTTTTGAGAGAGGATATCATTGTAGAAAAACAGTGTATTTAAATTTATGTAAAGTTTGATTCTATTAACATTTCCAGGTTATGACTACCGCAGAATTGAAAATTCATAAATGTTCACAATAAATTGTAGAAATAGGAAACGAGGAGTGCATGACCAAAATAACATTGGTTCAATGACATAGTAGAGTTAAAAGCAATAATGCTGATTGTTATAGTTTCATTGCTTACTATGCACCAGGCACGGCTCGCAATGCTTCACAATGTAACTCATTAAATCCTTGTAACAACCAATGGAGTTGGTGCTCTCATTTGCATTTCCAGTGGCAAAAACATTTTTTTTCCCCTCTACTGTTTTATGCTTTTTGTTTGTTTGTTTGAACCAAAGTTCTCATGCTCTCTTGTCATTTGGAATGGAAAGATCAGTGACAAACTGAGGGGTCAGCATTACCAGGCTTTCTCTTCAGCATGTGTTCTGCCTCTATTGCTGTTATTTCAGAAACTGTGGTGAACACGTGCGCACAATGGACAGAGGCCCGCTCCATGCAGTACCGGTGGTAGATCTGCCTTTCCCCAGCCTCTTTGTCTATGTCAAACTGTTCAAAACAAAACACAAGCACAAAAAATAAAAATAAAAATAAAATAAAAAAACACACAAAAAAAAACACAAGCACGTGTCCATTTGCGTACACTGATTCTTCCACACAAGCAAAACAAAATCACATATTTTTCCTATTGTGCTCCCCAAAAGCCGTGTGAAATTTTATGCCCACTAAAAAGTAATGAACATTTGTATTTAATCCCATTTCTAAGTGCAGAGCTACTTATGCTTACACAGGTGTTGCTTACTTCATTTCTGTTTCAAAACTGCTATGTAAACCCCTGAGTAAATGACATTTCCACTTTGTTATAATCACATAGAAATCTTGATTTTCTTTGGCATTTCAATTATACTTTTATTTATCCCACATTTTATAAATACTGAGCTAATTTCTTTCCCCAAGGTCCTTATCATGTTTTTGCCCATGAACAATGAAGTAAAGCTGACATTAAACTTGATACAAAAAATTAAGTTAATTATTATTATCCTTAACTCACTGAAAAGAAGCCTGACAAAGAAAAGACAAATGTTTTTCCATGACTATTGTAGTCCTACCACTATATAATTTCAAGGGTGTACAGTTATATTAATTAGATAGTGTGATAGATTGTGTAATCATTCTATCAAGCCAGTCAGAATATTCATTATTCTGGATATCTTAACTTAAAAATATACGCACAATAAGCAAACCCCCCACAATTAAATAGTTGGCAACAGTTGCGGGCTTTTGCCATTTGGCTTAGTTACTGAATATTATTTCTAATATAGTTGCATATGAAAGTAGCAATGTCTAAGAGAAAAAGCTATATAGTTTCTGGCCTTGTATCATCAATGCACTTTTCATATTAGAAGCTTTTCAACACTATGCATCAGACATTCTTCTAAGCAGGACATCATATTTGATCCTCATAAAACACTGAGAAACTTATTTTGTCTTCATTTTATAGAGGGGGATCGAAATTTCTAAAGTTTAAAGAACTTGCTCAATGTAATATTCATATCTTAGCAGAGTCCTGTTGATCCAAATCAGTCTGACTGCAAACTTGTGCTCTCACCTGCTTTTATACCATTTAGTCTCTAACTCAATCAACAAGTCAGTCCCAGTAATTACTGCACCATATAGAGGAAAATACTAACAAAAGATTTATTAGATGATTCTAAAGATTAGAACAAGAAAATTTTAGAATAGTCTCTCTTGACTGTAATATTTACAAACATCTCTCTGAAATGGTTTGAACCTGGGTTCTCTCTATATGGTATCCTTGAATCAGCAGAAGTTTTTCTTAAAAGCTTTTTATGGCTGGTCTTATTTATTCAACCAATCTCTCATTCAACCAATATTTGTGGAATAATTTATGTGTTTCTGTTACCTTCAAAGAGGCTATAACTTAGCAAGCAAATGAGTAAAAATCAGGCAGAAATGAGTAAGTGTCTGAGTAAGGTATAAGATCAGAACAGGATAGGGAAAGTATTTCATCCTATATAATAAAACCCTACTATGCAAATTGACTGGACAGCAGAACGACTGGTCACTATGACATACACTGACCACCATGGGGCAGACACTCAACACAGGAGCTGTCCCCTGGTGGTCAGTGTGCTCCCACAGGGGGAGCGCTGCTCAGCCAGAAGCTGGGCTTATGGGTGGCGAGTGCAGCAGCAGTGGAGGGAGACTCTCCTGTCTCCACTTCAGGCAGGTGGTAAGGAGCGAGGGGGTCCAGACTGCGAGAGGGGTATCTGACTGCTGGCTTAGGCCTGATCTGGGAGGGGGGGGGGGGATAGGGCCTAAGCTGGCAGGTGGACATCCCCTGAGGGGTCTTGGACTATGAGAGGGCACAGGCCGGGCTGAGGGACCCCCCCCCCAGTGCACGAATTTCATGCATCAGGCCTCTAGTACTATATAAGTATTCATATTCTCAATATCACCTCTAGAATGTAAGATTTTTAGGGATAAGAACCATGAGTTATGCATAAAATAGCATTTGGACATGAAAATTTAATTTGGGGAAAGATTATTTTAGGCTGAAAAATTAACTGCCCTAATAATCAAGTATACTAAATCAAATGAAATTTGCAGAAAATGTATGGTGTGACTGTGGCATTGGGTGTAGAATGTAGGAGACATAGTAGGGTGACATCCTGGTAGGATATAATAGGGCCAGACCCCAGAATTCCCTGAAGACAAGACTAGAAATTTAGCCTTTGTCCTGTATACAATGGCAAGACTAAATGGGCTTGTTTAGAGATATGGTAAAGACAGCCTATGTTTAAGAAAAATAATTCTGGAAAAGTATGTTTCCTATCTCACTGAGCTTTTGTAAAGAGCAAATGAGGTAACAAGTCAAATATTTATAAAAGTTCCTCACACATAGAAAGTGCTCAAGAACTTTAACTATTGTTATTATTCATTGTTGTTGTTAGGAATAATATGATTTCATATATGGGGCAGTGTTTAATATTTAGACATGTAGAGATGGGATGATAGGTTTTCTAAGTAAGTAGACCAAGTACGCAAAGGTGAAGACAGGCACTTGTGCATGTTTCTGTCTTTTCCTGGCCCCATGGGGCCCCTTATCTTTTAGGCCTATAGTATGTATGCCTGGTCACACCCATAGGCTTCACAGCAACCCTATCTATTTACACTTTCTTTCTTTCCCCCATATTCATGACAGCATGTTAAAATCTCTGTCTGGTCATTCCAACATCTAAAACATATCTGGGCCTGGTTCCTTTGACAGTGGAACTTCCTTCCCTGTGTTTTTTTTATATCTCATAGCCTTTTGTTGTATTCTAGATAATATGTATAAAAGAACAAAGAATGAGGTATAAGGTTACAGTGGAGGGTAACCTTATAATTGAAGTTCACTAGTTTAAAACTTGGTCAGAGGAGAGAGTTAAAATCCATGAGACCATTGTGTACCAGTTGGCTTCCTTCACAATTTTCTAATCCCAAACAGCAATGTCCTCATTTCTATCAAGGAAAGTCTGTTGCTATTAAAAAAAGAGAAGCCAAAACCTAAAAAAACTTTTTTAAAAGCATTAGTTGTCTAGCTATTTTATTTCGTTGAATGTATTGAGGTGACATTGATTAATAAAATTATATAGGTTTCAGGTGTACAATTCTAGAATACATCATCTGTATGTTATATTGTGTGTTCACTACTCCAAGTCAACCTCCTGCCATCACCATTTATCCTCCTTTCACCCTCTCCAACCTCCCCCAACTCCTTCCTAGTTATCTAGCTATTTTAGTGGAGGGAAAAGTTGACCCATTACTGGACTAATAAGAATAAATTTAAAAATATCTTGAAGAGTCTCAGAAATTCATATGCTGGCTAGAATGGTTGGAATGCTCTTTCAGCTAATAAATTTAACTAAAAACTTTAACCAACTTCAAAATCTTGGTGAATTGGCTAGTAACAAAAAATGTTTTCAGTTATCAATTACTATTTGAGTAAGTAGTTTTATCTTTCTGGTTTTAGAGAAGTTGAATACTTTTATTTTTCTTCTCATTTCCCCACTCCTACCCCATGTTCATCTGCCTAAGCCAGAACTTACTGAGGCAGATCTTGGGTCTTGTTTCAAAGACTAAATTCTGACTCATTTCTTATGTTGAACTTTTAAAAACTTTCCATGTATATAATTTGGTATTTTTTTATGTATCACCCAAATTCTAAACCCAATGTGAGCATGGGGAAAGGGTCTACTATGGAAAATGATTATAGGGTGTGCTTTTTCTGTAAGAAATGGTTATGAATTTAACTCAAAATCTAGTTCTTGACTACTTGTTGTTTACCAGTGACTCTGCTGGCAGGGTATTTTACTAGAACAATGGACTGGGGTCTTACTTCAACCAATGAGGGCCTTTAAGTTGGGGAATATATAATCCTATTTGAAGATAGTATGATATAAATACTGACCTTTATCAAGAGGATAAAGTTGTTATATATAACTATATATACTACCATGCATTTGTTCCTTAAAAAAAAACAATAGCTGAAGTATATTCTTAGTTGTTTTCCTTAATTATATAATGCTCTTAAGAATTCTACAATAAAATATTTGATATGCCTCTCTAACATTTTCTCTTTCACAAAAATCAAAGTCTGCCCTTCTCCAGGAAACATGGTTGGTGAGCTTACCACAGATCACTGGTTTGCCCTTATTAATCTATCAATGTCATATGCCATTAAAAAATTTCCCAGTTCTCCTGACTTTCTGAATCCTGTGGTGATTTTATTTTAAATGTACATCTTATGTTTACAGTTAGAGACCTTTGGAGTAGGTTGACCTTTTTATAGGTCAACTCTCTTTAGGATCATTCATTGCTTTGCAAATGTTGAAGTTTTTCAGAAAAAAAACTTTTCTGCATTCTATTCAAAGTGTCTTTGAGATAGTAGTATTACTTGTCACAACCACTATCTAAGTATTATTCATGTACCAGAGGCCCAGTGAATGAGATTTGTGCACTGGGGTTGAGGGGTCCCCCAGACCGGCCTGCGCTCTCTCGCAGTCCGGGACCCTTTGGGGGATGTCTGCCTGCCAGCAGTCAGACATCCCTCAGACATCCCTCTGCAGTCCGGAGCTCTTGCAGTCCAGGACCCCTCCCTCCTTACCGCCTGCCTGCAGTGGAGGTGGGAGAGGCTCCCGCCACTGCCTCTGCGCTTGCCAGACATGAGCCTGGCTTCTGGCTGAGCAGTGCTCCCCCTGTGGGAGCACACTGACCACCAGGGAGCAGCTCCTATGTTGAGCGTCTGCCCCCTGGTGGTCAGTGTGCCTCATAGCGACCAGTTGTTCAGCCGTTCAGTCAATTTGCATGTTACACTTTTATTATATAGGACTACACACAGAGACACACACACTATTTCATAGAATCCTAGCACTTTTTTAAAACTGGAAAGTCTTTAGAAATCAACTTTCCGACGTACTCATTTTCCTGACAGTAAAACAGAACCTCTAAGATAGTAAATTGATTTGATTGGCAATAGAGAAACCAAATCTACAAACCCCCTGACTTAGTGGTATGCACATGCCTTGTTGATATTATTGGCAGATGATGTAAAAGACATACTTTAATCTAATTTAACTGGTGGGAAATAGAAGGAAGAAGTCAAAACAATGACCTTGGGTCATGGAATCGAGCAGTCTTCTCAAATGAGCAGACATAACTGGTCACCAAGGACCCACATCCCTGTTTTTAATACCTTCCGTCTTATTTGACCCTGATAAAACCCCACCTATGCATTGCAGAGTTACAGGAGCAATCTGACCATTTTTCACTTGGGAGATAGAGGAGGTAAGGCTCATGGTGCAAGCTGTATGTCTAGAATCCTGGCTCTCTACCTGCCACTCAGAGCTGTGTGTGATACAGGATCCTCGCAGCATTTCCCAAGCTCCAAGGTAGCCAGGAGCCCAACCTGTGTCCACAGTCTTACCTCCCCACCCCCACGCCTTTGAATCTTGGATCTATTGCTCCAAAGTAGACACACACCGCCTCTCTGTCAAAGGGGCGGCTTTGTCATGCATATTGATTAGTTGAAAGGGCATTGCTGCCATCTGGCTGGCAGATGAAATGTCAAGATCAATACTTCTCATCCTTCAGCTTCCAGGATGAGAAAAAAGGTGGTGAGGGGGAAGGTAGTAGGACGCTTTACCGACTATTTACCTCATCAAGATGGTTGTAGAAATCGATGTTTGCGGCGCAGAGATACCTCCCAAGCAGTGTGGCGTGAGTGGTAAAAATTGTAGCGATAGGAAGTTTCCGGGCTCGAGAAAGGATCAGTCCGGTTCCGGCCTGCCATTCATGGAATTGGGTAATGACGTGTTTACCGTCTGCATGGTCTGTCACCTACATCAGGAAGGAAGCATTTAGAAAAGCTGTCGGTGAAAGTTGATCTTGTTCATGGCCCACAACATCAGGAAAGTTATCGTGCCTGTAAGTTTTAGCTCAATTTGAAGGGATCTATATATGAAGCAGGCAGATTTAGCAAGAGTGTTTTATAGGATTCAGTGGCATAAAGCCCAGCGGTCCTCACACTTAGCCTACCTACCTCAGGTCACCTGGAAGGCTTGTTAAGCACAGACATCTGGGGTCTCATTCCCAGGTAATCTAATTCAATGATTCTGGGCTGGAGGGCAATACTTTTCATTTCTTACAAGTTCACAAGTGATGCTGCTACTGATGGTCCAGGAAATACTCTTATTTTATTTTTTATTGATTTCAGAGAGGACGAGAGAGAGATAGAAACATCAATGATGGGAGAGAATCATTGATCAACTGCCTCCTGCATGCCTCCTACTGGAGATCTAGTCAGCAACCCAGGCATGTGCCCTGACAGGGAATGGAACCATGTCCTCTTGGTTCATAGGTCCATGCTCAACCACTGAGCCACACCAGCTGGTCTGGGAAATACTCGTTGAGAACCACTGACTTAAGCTAAAACCTTTGTATTTGCAAGTATCTGCTCTTGCCCTGGCCAGTGTTGTTTAGTGGTTAGAGCATTGGCCCTCGACCTTCCAGCCCTGGTCATCACCTCTGGAAGGCAACCAATCAGCATGTCTATCTCTTCTCTCTCTTTCTCTCTCTCTCTCTCTCTCTCTCTCTCTCTCTCTCTTCCCCCCTCAGCTTCTTTCCCTTCCTTCCCTTCCACTCTCTTTAAAAAGTCAGTGGAAAAATTATCCTCCAGAGAGAATTAACAAAAATAAAGTATCTGCTCTTCACAAAGGTTTTCACGGGTATGAACAGCACAGGTCAATGGTGCAGCAGAAGCAGTGACAGCAGAAACAGGACTTGCCCAGAAAAGCCTTGGGGTTTTTTCAGTGTCTTTGTTTACCCTTTGAACAAAACACAATCTCAGTTTCCAGAACTGCTTTACTTTAGAGGAAGTCGAGCTCTTACTTTCTTGCTTCTCTCCCTTGTATTCCCTTTAACAGAAGGATGACAGCAGATACACACACATGTGCACACACGCACACTTGAGACTGATTTCCGCCCTGAGGGCAGTGGCTCAGGGAGGCAGTTTGCAGACAAAGACACTAACAGGTACTAAAACAAGATTTCATGCTGGTCATTAGCCCAGATCTGCCAGGACCCTCACCCTCCTTCTCCTATTCTGTCACCAACACAAAGCAATAGGACTGCTTCTCCACCCTCTCCTTTACTTTGAGGCAGCCCTTTATGGCTATTGGACTATGATTCAATCAGTAAGAAAGACTGGCCAGATGGAACCCACTCCCAACATACAGATCTGTGATTTGGCTTTAGACCACACCCCACTTTGCTAGGGATGCTCTTTCTTCACCATCTAATTTTCAGGTTAAGCATCATCGTCTTGAGGTAATGCAAAGAAGGTGAAGAAATCTACTGCCAAGCTTGGAGGACTTAGGAGAGTGCAGGCTTGGCTCACTTAAAAAGGACTAGTTTGGCCCTAGCCGACTTGGCTCAGTGGATAGAGCGTCAGCCTGCGGACTGAAGGGTCCCAGGTTTGATTCCGGCCAAGGGCACATGCCTGGGTTGCAGGCTCGTTCCCCAGTAGGGGGGGGGGAGGGGGGTGCAGGAGGCAGCCAATCAATGATTCTCTCTCATCATTGATGTTTCAATCTCTCTCTCTCCTTCTCCCTTCCTCTCTGAAATCAATAAAGTAATATATATATATATTAAAAAAAGGACTAGTTTGGCCAGGCCACCACGGTTGAGTGTCAACCTAGGAACCTGAGGGCATGGTTCAATTCCTGGTCAGGGGACATGCCCAGGTTGCCGGTTTGACCCCCCAGTGTGGGGCATGCATGAGGCAGGCAATCAATGATTCTTTCTCATCATTGATGTTTCTCTCTCCCTCTCCCCTCCTCTCTGAAATCAATAAAAATATATATTAAAATAAATAAAAAGGACTAGTTTCTAATATTCTTTTTTTTCATCTATGGGATATTTCACTGCTATGGACTCCTTAGCACTTGCTGGGATCACTTCAGCACTTAGCGAATGATAAAAATATCTAAAAGTCACTGCAATTACACAAGAACTCATGCATAATCAAAACCAAATATTTCAAGCTATTTTCTATTCCATTGAATCTATAATTCATATACATAGTGCATGATGTATACTATTTTTTCTTGCGCATATGTTGAGTATCATCTATGTAGCAGCAAATATAATTGGATTTTATACACATCATTCTATATATTAATAAGCATTATTATTACCCCAGTCCAAAGGCTGATAGTTAATTTGAGGAAGGCAGAACATTTTCTCAGAAATGTACTAGGACAATCAATAAAGGCAGCATCTCAAAATTTACTTAATATAAAGGTCATGGGGTCATTGCTGGACACTGCTGGGCACAGAACACAATTGTGCTGCTCCTCTGTTGTATCACCATCCAGTAAACTGTACCTCTTTTAAGAACCAGGCTGTTAAAGATCCAAATATCAACATGTCGTTGGCTTCTCGGTCATGATAAGGAATGCCGACACTGCATGCTTCCCAGAGGTCACCCTTCCACCTGTCCAAATTCCAAGCTGAAAACCCTATGTCAAAGAGCACCACGTAAGGACTCCCCTCTATCAGCCATCTTCCAAAATGTACCTGCCAGATAAAGAACACAGAGCCATGTAGGAATGCTAGGACATGTATTTGTGCTCAGCAGATGTAAGCTTTATTTAGAACTCAATTGCAGATTACAGATGCTGTACAGAAAACCACGGTGATACCACAAAGCTCTGATATGGAGTTAGAATGGGCTTGCATTCATTCATCTAAAATATTTCCCTGCTTGGGAAATGCTTTTCATTAAATTTAGTCATTAAAAAAAAAGTATCATCACTCCTTTGACCTTGAGCTCATGGTTTAAGGATTTAATATTATAGTCTACTAGAGGCCCAGTGCACAAAATCGTGCACAGGTAGGGTCCCTAGTGGCTGCCGGCTGCTGGCTGCCAGCCGGAGCCTCCCTTCATTCTGTGCCACCCTCTGGTGGTCAGCACACGTTATAGTGAGCGATCGAACTCCCGGTCGGTTGAACTCCCACGGGGACATTTTGCATATTAGGCTTTTATATACAGAGATGTTTTTATGATAAAATCAAAAGTTGAACTGCTCTGTATCTTTAGCAACTCACAGTTTGATATTATTTCTACTGTGTCACTTATTTTCCTTTATGCAACAGGAGTTAACATATTTTCTGCTAGAAAAAGTGTTATTTTTTCCTGTTGACAAATGTATATGATTTCTCCAATTCCTCCTATAAAAATGAATGTTGCTGGAAGTGTTTCTCAGTATGGTTGCTGCCAGAAATCTTAATTAAAAATATTGCCTAAGATACATTATCTCATTAATGTAGCAGCCCAAAGTCTAATCCTATTACGTTCTTCAAAGTGACTGCCCATCAATTCAGTTAATCGCACAACCACCTCCAAGACTTTTGCCGGTTTGCCCCATTGCACAAATGCTGAAATTAAACACCATCTTCATCCATTCATCTTCCTGCACTTTCGCCCAGGCTGCTGATTGCTGCTGGAGAGAGTCACAGTCACGTACATTTGTGACATTGAAAAGCCATGACTGTACATCAGAGATGTCAGATATTCTTGATCTCTTCCTTGAACAGTTTTCAGAACTTCTTCCTTCAAATTTCTTATTTTAACACTTGCCTCCTAACTTCTGTAAGATGACCTTTAACTCCTACTTCATTAAGATCATCAAATACATTGAGTGAGGCCATACTGAATCCTTCATTCACCCTTTATTACCCGTGTGAGCGAAAGGGGAGAAAAGTGATCCTCTCACTAGTGCTTTGGGTCTTGTTCCCGCTCCCATTCTCAGTGGCCTTCCTTTCTTCAATCATTCATTTCTTCTGAATTTTCAACTTCTCCCTGTCTGCTAGAGATTTCTTTTTTGGCATATAAATATGCTCAGACCTCACTGACATTTAATAAAACACTAATTCTCAAAATCACACAACTCTGAAACTACTTAATTTATCTCACCTCTTCAGAGAAAAATCTCATAGCCACAGCTTTTATACTCTTTTCTCACCATTCATACATTCCTCAACCCACAGCAATCTGATTTAACCTCACCTTCCTCTGAAGCGTATCTAACAAGGTTACCATGAATGACCTTAATATTGTTAAACCAAAATGACCCTGGTTCAATCCTTTGTTGATTTGGTTCCTCCTTCATACTTGAAACTCTCTTCTCCCTTGTCTTGACCTCACTATTCCTGTATTTACAGCAACTAATTCTCAGAAACCTAGTGGCTAAAAGGACACAAAATAATTATTCTATAGGTTAGGGGGTTGGAGCGTGAAATCAATCTTATGGGTTAAAATCAACATGTTGGCAGAGTTTCATTCCATTTGTAGTCTCTGGAAGAGAATCTATTTCCTGGCCTTTTTCAGCCTCTAGAGGCCACCTTCATTCCTTGGCTAGTGGCCCCTTCCTCCATCTCCAAAGCTCCCAGTGCCAACCTCTGTTTCCATGGTCACATCTCTCCAAGTCTGATTCAACTGCCTCCCTCTTATAAGGACCCTTGTGATTACATTGGGCCTAGCCAGATAATTTCTCCATCTCAAGATCCTTAACATAATCACATGTGCAAAGTCCTTTTTGCTACATAAGCTACCATTTTCTTAGGTTCTGAGGATTAGGATTTGAACATTCTTGGTTCTATATTGCTAGCTGTGCTTCTACTTTTGCAATCTCTGACTTCTTTTACTGTAGTTGTTCTAACATGTTGCCGTCCCCAAGGTTTGGCTCAAAATGTGCTTTTAGTCTATAAACGTCCACAGAACAATACTATGAACATGAATTATATACAATTTAGACACAAATGACTTCCCCAGAAATATCTTTACCCTATAAATTCTGCTGAGCTCTAAACCCATTATGTTACTAGATATTTATATTGCCTCAAAAATGTACCTATTTATAATCAAGTTCATCGTCTTTCTCACAAACCTGCTCCTTTTTCCTACGTAGAGGAATGGTCTTCTCTTGGGAGTTAATGTGAATTGTGTCTGCTTGCCCATTACAATTTACTAAGACTTGTCAAGTGAAGTGTTGGTCAGTATCCCTTACTTGGCAGCCATGTTTATTCATTATGTCCACTGCTCTTCTAACAGCATCATTTGCAGGTTCACACTTTTCCACCTGAGTCTTCATATTTTGCTCAAAATATGGACCAATCAGAAAGTAATTGTCTCCCCATTCATCTGCTGTTGTTCTGGCCTTTGTTTGAATCACAGTATAGATGCCACCAACTGTTGAAAAGAAAAGGTTCCATTATCATTCAGCTTAATAATTCATTTAAGTGATAAAGGCATGGAAGCGAGTTCCCATGTTTTGTTACGTATTTAGGATCCATCAAGCACAAGGATTCATTTAACTTTCTAAAATAAAGTATTTAAAGACACTAACAAATAGTCATTATTAGTTCCCTTCATGCATATTTTAAAGCCCCTTCTGGGTACATGTCAGAGAATAGCAGATTGGCAACAGTAGAGCAGTACAAACATTTCAAAGAAATCTGAAGAGACTATTGGAATGAAGCACTTGGCTTAATGCTCTATCCACATTGGGGTGTCAAAATGGGACAAATAGCCATTGTCATGCCATAAGCCCTCAGCAGCAGTAGTCACCTTTCACCCCTTCTCTGACGGTGGTCCAAGAAGGGGCTAAGGTATATCCAAGTAACAGCCACTACTGAAATGATGAGCAAGTTTTCCAAATTAAGGAGCCACTTCCATTCTAAGGAACCAAGTGAGGTCACTTTTGCCAAGAAGATCGATCTGATAGATTTTGAGGGGGAATGTTTGGCCCAACTCTCATGTCAAACCCACTGACACAAATACAAATTTTCATATGGTATGTCCTTTCCCCTCCCCCCTCCTCTGGCATCGTGGCCACCACTATTAAAACACAAAGCCAAAAAACATGCGTACTATTGGAAAATGCATATGCCTTTGGATCCAGCATGTCCACATATAGAAAATGGTTCTGGAGGAAAACAAAAAGAGTGCCAAAAGATATGTGTAAAAGAATATGTATGGCCCTAACCGGTTTGGCTCAGTGGATAGAGCATTGGCCTGCGGACTGAAGGGTCCCAGGTTCGATTCCGGCCAAGGGCATGTACCTTGGTTGCGGGCACATCCTCAGTTTGGGGTGTGCAGGAAGCAGCTGATCGATGTTTCTCTCTCATCGATGTTTCTAACTCTCTATCCCTCTCCCTTCCTCTCTGTAAGAAATCAATAAAATATATTTTAAAAAAAGAATATGTATGGAGCATTACAATTTTGAAAATTATAACCAACTTAAATTGAACTAGTTAACTCACTTAACCTAAGGCTCAATTAGCTCATCTATCCAACAGGAATTTGCAGAGGCAACTAAAAATAATTTTTTTTAAAAGTGGGAGTCACATTTTAGCAACATATTTACATATATATATATAAGATTTCTTCAAATAACTTTTCATCTTCGGTTGATGTCTTTCCTTCATCTTCATCTTATCAGGGAGAATACGTTCTCGGGTTCTGATGGCATATGTTTATTAAATGCCTTATTCACATTTCTATTCTTGAATACTCTTATTTGCAACTGTGCATCTTGCCCAGAGATCTTAGAACATCCTTGTTAGATTATGTGTTCAAAATTTAAATACACTTGTGTAAATGCAAGCACATTTTTATTTGCTAAAGGACACCGGGGGGAAGAGAAATTCTTTATTTGAGAAATAAGTTGGGAATTGAAATGGAAAGATAAACACAGTTAATTAATTTGCTACTTCCTTTTCTGATTTGAGGCCTTCGGTCTTGATATAGATAGTCTCCAAATAGCCTTACAGTGTTCATAAATACTATGGCTCTGTTCTTTCAGTCTATCAGGAATAAAAACATAAAATTTAAAAATAAAAGTCCATCCCATCCTGATTGAGGTCTGATTGTAAATAAATCTTTTCTCCCAGACATCTCTCTGTACAGTCTTTCTGTGGAGAGGACCTCTTAATGCATTTCGTATGCTCAAGCACCAACTTTAGCCTCTCTCTGCTCTTCCCATATTCATATGCCAACTAGTTTCCCTTGATTTTTACTCTGTTTTCCACAAACTCCTCCGTTGGCATGCTAATTATAGGTGAGTGTGATGGCATAGACATAGGGTCATTCCCATTTTCAAACTTGAGGTATAAACCAGAGGTTCACCAACACATATTTTTTATTGATTCATTGTTTTGTCACAGCATAGATCACTGAATTTGAACTTACACTTCACTTTCAAACATGTACTTTGTATTTTATTGATCTTCTTTTTTTCCCCCAAAAAAACAACACGAGAGCTATCTTTAGTGTGAGGGCAAAGTATCAAGCCTTTCATAAGAAAGAAAAGACGAGCTCCCATGGCATATGTGTCATTGAGGTAGCTACAACCCCAAGTTTCCGTCTAGAAACTGCTGATGTTGCTAAAACCAGGATTCCAAAGCAGTATGGAATATGGACAGCAGCCAATATAAGACATTTTATATAGGAATATAAATTAGGAGTATCTTCACTACTTGATAAATGTTTAAAAGTTACAGAATCTGAAAGTCATATGACTTCAATATGCATAGCTAATAATCGGACCCTTCTGTCTTAAGACAGTTGCAGGAGGAATCATTATACAGTTAGAATATCATTCTGTGAGGCAGCAGGGCTGGTAGGATAGAAAGTAAATGTTACTGGTGATAATGGTCAACAAATGTTTGTGTGCCCAGCACTCTGCTGAATCTGTAGTCCAAAATCAAAGCAGCTTCAGTCTCAGGCAGGGAGAGGTGAGACACTTAGAGCAAGACCAGGTGCACACCCCTCCCCAATCATACATAGTGGCAGCCCATGTTCTATACAGGAGGCGCTCAGACATGGCAAGCAGGATGAAAAGGAACTGAGGAGACTAGGTCTCCTCTGAAAGCTTTGTGTGTACCAAGCATGGTTTTTCCATAGATTGTGTGTTTCACGTGGTGTCGTTTAAGATGCCGTTGACATGGTCACTGCATGTTCACACCAAAGAAAGGAACCTCAGCCCCAAATTACTGTGTTGCCAATAACTGTAGAAACCCTGTTCCATAACTTTTTGTCCACTTTCTGCTTTTGTGTTTAAAATCACTCAAAATCAAAGCAAATATGATCATGAATGATTCAACACACTCATTTTATTAATAAATTTTTATCCTATTTAATAAAAGGCTAACATGCAAATTGTACCCTTGACCGGGAATTCGACCAGAGGGCGGGGCTAGCTGGCCAGCCACCTGCAGCCCCTCCCTCTCGGCCAGTCCTGCTCCCAAAAGCCTCCCCCCTGCCCCCATCTGGGACAGGGCTGGCCGGCCAACCTCCCACATCCCCTCCCCCCAGCTGGCCCAGCCCGATCGGCTGTGATCAGGGCAGTTCAGCTGGACCCCACCGGTGCACGAATTCATGCACTGGGCCTCTAGTGAAAACACCTACAAAGTGTTTATTTAATGCTAGGAGTTATTCTAAGTGGTTTACAATTGTTGTTGTTTTCATTTTCACAATATCATTATAGGTAGATACTATTATTACAGTGGGGCCTTGACTTACGAGTGTCCCGACTAACGAGTTTTTTGAGATACCAGCTGTCTCTCGGCCGATTTTTTCCATTGAGTTGATAGAGTAATTTGAGTTAACGAGCTCCTTAACAAGCTGTCTCAGAACGAATTAAACTCGTAAGTCAAGGCCCCACTGTATCTTTATTTGTAGATGGGGAAACTGAGGCACAAAGAGGCTCTGAGAGGGATCCACCATCAAACAAGTAATGATGAGACTGGGATTTCAGTTCAGTCTGACTCCAGGGCCCACGGGCTATGGACAGCAAGACTGTAAGCTACTGTGCTGAGCAACATATTGATGGATCCTTAAAGATGGTGGCAAGAGGGACAGAGGAAGAAAAGAGCAGTGTCATAAAAAATAAACTCCTTCAGGTGTTGGGAGTTTCAGAGCCACTTGGAAAACAATACTTAAAGGAAATCACTTTTTAATTTCGGCTCTAGGCACTTCTGAGTTAACAGAAAAAGGAGCCCAGGGCTTAGAGGAAGTTAGAGCAGTGGCTCTCACGTTAATCGTTGAGGCCTTTAGAAATCTGATGAAAACGTTCTGCCCTCTTCTCCAAAACAGCACTCACAGGTAGGAGCACATATTTTCAGATACAATATCCTGAGGTTTACAAACGCTTTGAAGTCCACTCCTATCAAGATCCCCACCTTTAGAATGCCTGCCTCAGAACATGGACTTGCAATCATGGTCAGTTTCTACCAACCCCTTTTGATTATAGTTTTCTGAGTTTTTCCAAGTACCATTCATAGCATACCATGTGACCCAGAGCTAGTGATGGTGCCTAGCTTAAAGGAGGGAGCAGGCAGAATTATGTCCAGCAATATTCTGGCTTAGGGCTAAAACAAATAGTTTTTAGTTGATTTTAAAAGAGAAGCATTCATTTAGTAACTAAGTTACAAAAATGTTCACATCCTATATAATAAAAGGCTAATATGCAAATTGACTGAACAGCAGAATGACCAGTCACTATGACGTGCACTGACCACCAGGGAGCAGACACTCAATGCAGGAGCTGCCCTTGGTGGACAGTGTGCTCCCACAAGGGGAGCACCGCTCATCCAGAGGCCCTGAGCTGGCTCAAGGCTGATGAGCGCAGAGGCAGTGGTGAGAGCCTCTCCCGCCTCTCCCACCTCTGCAGCAGTGCTAAGCTGTCAGTTGGACATCCCCTGAGGGCTCCTGGACTGCGAGAAGGCTCAGGCGGGCTGAGGAATTCCCCCGCCTGAGGGAATCTCGTGCACTGGGCCTCTAATATATTACATTAGCATTCATTCTTTTTTACAATGTTCATTAAACTCTTTTTAATGATCCTAAACATCCTCAACATGACCATTGATTCATAGTCTACAATGATTTGGGCAAGTCTGTGCACAAGAAATGATTGTGGTAAGAGGTTTTCCACAAACCCTAAACTAGTTAGAACCCTGCCCCTGCCCCCCGCCCCGCATACATTATGTAGTCTTAGAGCATCTTGTACTTATTCTTACACTCATCACACTTGACTATAGTTGCATGTTCAATGTCTACCATCCTGCAAGTTTGCAAACTTTGGAAGACTGGGAACCAATTTTATATTGTTAAACTCTATGCTCCTCATCTCCTAGTACCTGACATGTAATAGACACTTGATGAATCTTTATTGAATAATAAGTGATTTATAATAATAAATGGATGAATTGATAAAAGCAATACATTTCAAGAATAACATGAACAAATGGAAAAAGTTATTTTAAGGTCAAAGAATTAGCATCCAATAATTTAACTATAACTCTTTCATTTGTTATAATTAACACATTTTCATTGTTTGCTGACAAAATTTTGGTAGTAAAGGATTTATTTTTCCTAAGAAATCTTTTGTTCTTGGATCTAAATACATTTCCTGTTTGCCACTACAAACCACTGTAAGATGGCTGAAGCATATTACGCTCATTTAATTCATGAAGAAACTGCTATTCAGATAGTATACTCAAAGGGGTGGGGAACATCAATCAGGCCTGCAGGCCGTATGAGGTCTGTGAAATCATTTGGTCTGGCTCTGCCAAGGCATTAGAGGTGAGTTAATTAAATGTTTGACCAAAGATAGCAGGCTAATTTTCAAGTTTATAATTTTGTATGGCTCGAGAATGATGGTATATGTATCCAAAAGGCCCTTGGCTGAAACAAGGTCCCCCAACCCTGGTTTAAGGGATGTTTTACAAAGTCTCGGGAATCTATGATCTTTGACTGCAAGTCCAGTGTTCTTTCATCTGTAGAAAATTTCCTTAGGCAATGGACGTTTTAATTTTATCTTTGTGTGGTAGTTAAAAGAGCAGTGGACTCAGAGGAGACCTAACTGCTGGTCCCGACCCTGCAATTTACTTGCTCATTAAAGCCTGTAGCTGTCTGTTTCATCTATGAGGAGTTGGGCTTGTGATCGCTAAGATGCCTCATATCCTGGCTATGAACTGGAGGGGAATAAAAGTTCAAAGTAAAATTTAAAAAGAAACGATGGTGTCAATGAATCATCAGAGGTGAACACAATAATTGTCCATTCATATAAACATCTCTAAAAAATCAGTCTGTAATAGATATGTTGGAGATGATATCAACTTGGTTAAATCACATTGTGGGTCCCTTCGCAAGACAACAAAATTCCCTTTCTCTTGCATGGAAATAAAAGAAAATAAGTATAAAGGAAGCGTAGAGGTTGAAAATAAATGTACAGTGGGTCCTTGACTTACGAGTGTCCCGACTAACGAGTTTTTTGAGATACCAGCTGTCTCTCCCCGATTTTTTGCATTGAGTTGATAGAGTAATTTGAGTTAACGAGCTCCTTAACGAGCTCCTTAATGAGCTCCGTCTCGGAACGAATTAAACTTGTAAGTCAATGCCCCACCCACTGTATTCATTTCCTTCATTTAAAAGAAAAAAAAATCCCTTTGAGCATTTTCTGTGTGCCAGGCACTGTTCTAGGTCTGACATCAGCATGCATGTCATCAGGATACAAGATCCATGGGTAACAGCTCTCACCAGTGTGTGCCCAGCACCAGGAGACAATGTTCCATTAAGGTTCGTTAAGTGGAGAGACCAGGAGGAAGAAGAAAGGGCTCTCAGTGGTTCTCAACCTCTGGCCCTTTAAATACAGTTCCTCATGTTGTGACCCAACCATAAAATTATTTTCGTTTCTACTTCATAACTGTCATGTTGCTACTGTTATGAATCGTAATGTAAATATCTGATATGCAGGATGGTCTTAGGCGACCCCTGTGAAAGGGTTGTTCGACCGCCAAAGGGGTCGCGACCCACAGGTTGAGAACCGCTGGTTAGGTGCTGGAACTCACGCAGACTTCTCCTGAACTGTTTCCTGCTGCTAGTAATTCCCTCCCATTTTTTCCACCAACAAGCTACATTCTTGAGTTCCTGCCTACTCTGTAGAGCAAACCTTTATTTAAAGGCACAGTCCGAGATTTATGTGTAACAGAGATGGCTCTGTTCCCAGGAACACGGGGTATATTTAAAAACCTTGAGACTGGAAAAAAAGAAACAGGTATTTGGAAACAGATATTTAAAAACACTTCCCTTCTCCATAGTATGGTTTCTGTTCTCTTTGCTTTCTACTCACTAAACTGCAAAAACAAAAAAAGACCGTGCTTTGTTCTCTTACGTTCATTCTGTGCGTTTCTACACGGCAGACTTGATTTTTAATTTTGATGGTATGATTTTATGAAAGCATACACATGAGCACTTTGAACATGTAGCATAAGGTGAAAATCTGAACAGATGCCGAATATAATTCCTCCACCTTTGAGGTTATGCTGGTTCTGATTAGCGAAAAGGAAATAATATATCATATTCATGTTATCATTTCAGATCCTTTCAGATCCTCTAATTCCACAAATTGCCACTGACTTTTACCCGTCAATCACTTGGCCTGGTCCTTCATGATCCTGAAGAATTCAACCTTCAAAACTTAGTTTTTCTTACTAATATTCTAGACTTTTAAACTAGAGAGTATCAATTCATAATTTTAAAGATTCTATAATTTTACAGATTCCTTTCTTATTAAAATCATTTAGGTTGAGTACTCCATTTTGCCTTCTTCAATCTGGCACAAATGAGATTATACCTTATTGGGAAATTATTTTAACTTTGTTAATTTGATTTCATTTCTTATTTTATAATTCCTATGTATATGTTATTGAAAATCACTTTTGTTCTTCATAATAGGAGCTCAATATTATGCCTTCTGAGCTGCTTCTAAATTAAAACTTTAATTCCAAGCTAATCTTGAATTACAGGAAACATTAACTACTTAATAGAAATGCTATCAGTATATGGAGTTAACGCTTCTAATTGATCCTGATCAGGTGCAGTCCTCCCTAAAATAAAGTACAAAGTTGGGTTTTTTGTTGAAAACAAAATCATAAAACCCCAAAAAGCAAGTATTAACTTCTTATTTCTATTTTTCCATAACATGGATTTTAAATGAAATGCACATTCCCTAGCAAAGACCAACATTTTCAGCGTTCCCTTCAGCACATATAAGGTGTCCCAAAAATGTATACACACATTTTCAATCACTATAAAGGCAGTGTTTATTAAAATACACTTCATTTTCAACATTGAGCTATCAGCTATTAAAGTATGTATACATTTTTGAGGGGTATCTTGTATACACGTCTAAGTTTTCATTGCCTGTTGAAGTAGACACAATTAACTACAACCTAAGCTTATATTCAGTTTGTGCCTACTTATTCATTGGCAATTCATCTGATTAATTCATTCTTCTAAGTCTACATTCTTCAGCAATCTGTCAATTAGCCACCTTCAGGGGCCAGTACAAACCTTTATTGGTCACTTCCCAAGCAACTTCAAAGAGAAGCAAATCTTCCACGGGAAGTTCTTCAACTTCCCACTGGGGAAGCCCACTCAGGGATGTCACAGATAGGGATCGGCCTCGGAGCATTCTTCTTCCAGTCCCCTGAAACTTGTTTGATTCACTCTTTCAATTAACCGTGGGAGCCGTATGCTTTAGAGAGTGGAGGTTCAAAGCCAGTAGTCGCAGGCTTGGATAGCTTTTCGTAGGAGCCAACCAGCAGAATAAAATCTCATCTGCTTCCCAGAGAACTCACAGGTGAGGGAGGAATTGTCCAGTTCTCTTTGCAGTCTTTCCAGGTGGGTCCACTGAGGACAATATCTCCAATCAGAATCTACGCAAAAAACCCAGAGCTATCACAAGTAAAACCCTCAGTCTGGGGTTTAGGCAAGCAAACCGCCCCCCCCTCCCCCACCTCGATAGTGCCATCCTCATAGGCTGATCATGGTACATGTCCAGACCTTTAGCCCTTGTCCTTTTGACCAAATTCCTAGACTCACACGGTCACCAACGCTTATTTCATCACTTCCCAAGGGATCCAAGAATTTAGCAATTCCCCTTATAAATTTTGCAGAGCATTTTAGATTACACATAGAATTGACTGGGACATATTTCTATACTTCCAATCACTTTATATTTCCTAAGTATTATTCTTTCTTTTGATTCTCATTTCTAGAGCATTAAAAATTATTCCTAATTATTTTATTCTACATCTGCAAATTTACCTTTGAAGGTAAGTATAGATTTTGGCTTCCCTTTTCTTAATTACTTTTTCTTTAAAATTTCCCTGTGAAAAAATATAAATGCAAGTGTGTGTTTGGGTATAAAACACAAAGAATATAGTTTTGCCTGATCAATGATTGTCAGATCATCATTTTAATGAGATAGTAGAAATAAATTTTAGTCCCATTTGTACATTACCTCAAATATCTTCAAACTGATAAATAATTTAGTGGATATAATTATGTTCAAATAGGAGAAAAATGCAAAATATATTAGGTTCTGAAATATAACCAGGATCACCTTGTCAATAAATGCCATATATTCACTTTTTTCATGTGTTTGTATGTATATACGTATGTGTGTGCTAATTTATTTACATACACAGAGAGACACATTCTATATTGCATCTAAATGGAGTAACAATGTTCTCAAGCATGCTGACTTTTGAAATATCTTACTTTATAGATTTAGCTTACAATCAGTATTTTTACATTTTCATTCCATATAGCGATAGAATTGAAATTCACACAAAATATCCTTTACATTAGAATTACAAGTAGAACTCTCTTAAAATAATTTGTCACTTGTTTGTACTATCACTATTTTATTTTTGCTATTTATTATTACTATTTGTTACTTATTAGTAACTTTTTATTAGGTATTTAGCCATTGTACAGTTGGCCTTATTAACTCAAGCCCTATATTAATGACTTAAAATAGATAAAAGCATACTTCATTATCTGATATTAAATCAATGTAAATAAGTAGATTAAATGTCTTTCATGATTACCAACATATTTGATTCTTATCTTTGTCTACAAAATAAATTTAAGTATATAGTTTATTATTCATTCAGTTGGTAAGAAAAAAACTATATGGTTAATAAAAAAAATAGAGCAATAAAACAGTAAATATAGGAGCCCAATTTATCAAAATGACTGTCTCCTTTACCAAATAATTTGCTGGTGTTGACATAACCTCTGTTGAGTCCTGCAAATACAAATTCCAATAAAACCAAACAGAAGGGCATGCTGACAAGAAGTGAGGATGGGGTGACAGGGTGATGACAGAGAGTCAGGTTTGGAGTGTTCAGGCTCAGCAACCCTGTGATTGGTTCTTCCAGGAATAAACAAGCCCCAGGATAGCCAATTCACAATGCCCAAATCACACTGTGACACTTTATTCATTTATAGCAAGTTCCAGGTACCATGTGCTTGGTTGTAAAATAATCATTCTTGAGGCCACATCCAATCTGCCACTTATCAGCTATGCAAACTCAAGCCAATTTCTTAACTAAGTTTTGGTTTTCTGACAAAAATAGGAAAAACACCATTTACATAGGGTACTTAGTAGAGTGCCTGGCACTATATTTACCACTTTATAACTGTCAGTCTTATTTATAAGACATAGTAGTCTATTAAAAGCACTTCTGGTTGTTACTATTGCAGAGGAAATGAAAGAGAGGTTTATTTTTCTTTAATTTTTTTGAATATTGTGCCACATGCATATGTTATCTGCTCAAATAATTGTATTTTGAGGGAAAAATGACCTTAGATCAATTAAAATATTTCAGAACATACTAAATAAAAGTAAGTAACATATAAAACAAAATAAATAGTACAATTGATTCAGTTTTGTACAAAAAATAGATATGTATTTCTCCTAGTGAAATATATCTATACTAATAAAATGGTAATATGCTAATTAAACTGGATCGACCCGACCTCTTCCAGACATCTGACTTCCTTCCAGACAAAGCCATGGTGGCAGGGGGCCAAGGCAGAGGTGGTTAGGGGCGATCAGGCCAGTAGGGGAGCAAGCAGTTAGGGGCAATCAGGCTGGCAGGGGAGGGCAGTTGGGGGCGATTGGGCCAGCAGGGGAGGGCAGTTAGGTGGTGATCAGGCTGGCAGGAGAGCAGTTAGGGAGCAATCAGGTCCTGGATTGTGAGAGGGATGTCTGGCTGCCAGACATCCCCCAAGGGGTCCCAGATTGGAGAGGATGCAGGCCGGGCTGAGGGACAACCCCCCCCCCCCCCCGCATGAATTTCATGCACCAGGCCTCTAGTATAAATATAAGACAGAAATAGATACAAAATTCTCACAATTGTTTTCTTTAGGAAGTACTGATAATGATTATTATTTATGTGCTCTTTTTCTTTACTAGTATTCTACAAATTTTCTGCAATAAACATGTATATAAATGTATATATATGTATATACATATATATATGTTTACACAGAATAAGTAAACAGTTTTTGAAAGTTTAATCACATCACCTCGTGATTATTTCATTCATTCTCACTCATTATTTTGCTACTTAGAAAATTTTAATCTCTGGCTCTCACTTGGGCTTTTGCCTCAGGCACAAGCACTCTCAGCAACACATCATCTCCTAGTGACCCCTCACAATGGACTTATATGACTCTTTTGATCCTATTATCTCAACATGAGGGCATTGTGCCAATTCTTTGCTTTCCAATGGTGAATGTCTTTTTCAAAATTGCTCCGAGTCAACAAAGGTGAAATAAATGGAACCACTCAAAATATGTCTGTGTGATCTTCATCTGTCCATGATAACTGGATGAATCCCCCTCTTTCCAACATATGTGAAAAGAAAGGCATTCACATATGCAATATGATCTGGATGGGAATCAGAGAAAGTTCTCTGCTTCCTTAATAGTCTGAGTATCCCTGAGTTCTCTACTCTAGAATTTATATTAAAGGCATAAATTGGTGAGCTAAGAGCATAATCAATGAGAGAAAGGGAAATGGGGTTTCCCCAAGATGGGAGAAGAAATCTCGAAAATTCCTGATCTCTAATTTCACACTCACACTAATGTGTTATCATTCAATAAAAAGACATGAGAGGACAATTAGAAAAAGAAAGATTTGTGTTTGGTTTCCTTGGTAAGTATTCCAGCAGAGGTCGCTAGATACATGTAGAAAACCACTCTTTGGTTTTGACATTTCCCAACCATCTTGGAAGTCTTTAGGATTTTGAAGGCTTGATTGGCCTGCTCCTGCATATCCACACAGGTTCAGTTAATGTATTTATGAGTACCTACTATGTGCAACTTACTATTCTAGAAGCTGAATATATTTTCAATGAACCTCAGACAAGTTCCTCCTTCAGTGAACAGATAGACATTAATCATGTAAACAAATACATAAATTATATTGTTTCAGATACTGCTAAGTTTCTGAAGAAGAAAGACTACAGAATGGTACAAAGTGCCATTTGATAAAAATTGGTGCTTTGGCTGGGGATGGCAAGGAAGACTGCTTGGAGGAAGTGATATTTCAATTGAGACACAAATAATGAGAAGGAGACAACATTTGAGATCTGGGAGAGATAGCAATGGCTTTAACACTTACAGGGACAGAAAGAAGACCAATGTGCTTGGAGCACAGAGCATAATGAATGAGAGAGACTCTGGTGGGGGGAAGTCAGAGAGGAAAGCAGGGAACACATCACAGAGAAGCTGGTAGAGAGCTTGCATTTTATCCTGGTTGTGATAGGAGGTCATTGGATGGTTTTAAGCAGAGGAGTAATGTGACTATTGAGACTACAGAAATAGGATTAAAATTAAGAATTAAATATGTGGTCATAACCCTTGACTTCATGAAATTTACATAGTGTCAGGGCAAGCCAGTATTAAAGAAGTAATTTAAAGACTTTGAAGGTGGTGAATTACATACAGTACTGTGAGAGCATATAATAATAGAATTCATGTGATCTAGAATATTAAGAATGACTTCTCAAGAAAAATAAAAGGCATCCAAATGAGAAAGTCAAAAGGAAAAATATCACTATTTGAAGATAACATTTTATTATATGTAGAAAACACTAAAGACACCATCAAAAAAGCTGTTAGAACTAATTAACTAATTCAGTAAAATTGAGGAATACAAAATCAATAAGCAAAAATCTGTTGTATTTCTATTCACTGAGAACAATCAAAAAATTTAAGAAAAATTCCATTTATAATTGCATTCAAAGAATAAAATACCTAAAAATAAACTTAACCAAGGATGTAAAAGACCTGAACACTGAAAACAATGAGACATTGATGAAAGAAATTAAAGACAATTAAATGGAAAGATAGTTTATGCTCCAGGATTGGAAGATTTAATATTTTTAAAATATCCACGTACCCAAAGCAATCTAAAGATTTAATGCAATCCTATCAAACTTCCAGTGGCATTTTCACAGAAATAGAACACATAACACTATAATTTGTGTGGAACCATAATCACAAAAGACTCCAGTAGCCAAAGCAATCTTGAGAAAGAAGTGCAATGCTGAAGGCATCATACTTTCTGATTTTAAACTGTATTACAAAGCTATAGTAATCAAAAATTATATTGCCATAAAAACAGACACATAGA